GCCCCCCCCCCCCCCCCCCCCCTCCCCCCCTTACCAGCATGAGCACCGAGGGGTCGATCAGCAGCTCCACGCCGATGGAGGTGCGCTTGCGCTCGCCACCGCTGATGCCCTTGCGGAAGAAGCCGCCTGCGGGAGGGCAGCAGGGGGCAGCGGGCGCTGCCGCGGCGCGCCTTCAGGGCAGACGGCAGTCGCCAGCTGGGCGAGCGCCGCACAGTGGCTGCCCGTATGCTTGCCAGCCCCTCAAGGTTCGCCCGTCGTGCCCCGCCCCCACCTCCCTCCCCCACCCGCCGCCCACCGATGATTGTGTCCTTGCACTGCCTCAGACCCAGCGCGGTGAGCGCCAGGTCCACGCGCCGCAGCTTGTCGGCGTGGCTCATGCGGCGCGGCAGGCGCAGCATGGCCGCATAGTACAGCGTCTCCTTGACCGTCAGGCTCTCGTACAGCAGGTCGTCCTGGCGGGTGGAGCGGGGGGGCGGGCGCGGGGGTGGGCATGTGTGGGCATGTGTGGGGATTTTTGCGCAAAGCGGCGGGCTGGCAACATGGCAGGGGTGGCAACGTTTGGGAGGCGGGCAGGCAGGCAGGGAGGCGGCCAGGCAGGACGGCAGGTCGACTGGCGTCTCTCTGCCCACGGGCAGCTCCGCCACGGCACCACCGCTGGCCGCCCCCACCTGCAGCACGTAGCCCACGCGGCGCTTGAGGCGCTTGGTCAGCGGCGCGCCGTTGAAGGTCACGCCGCCCTCGGTACGCATCTGCTTCTGCGCGCGCGCCCCCATAATGGACAGCAGGGAGGTCTTGCCGCTGCCGCTGGGGCCTGGCAGGGCAGGGAGGGCGCAGAGCGGCAGGTCGGGCAGGGGGTGGGTGCGAGCGCCTTGAGGTGGGCGAGCCTGCCAGAGCCGCGGCCCGCGTGCGGCGCTGTCGCCCCAATGCGGCGCTCACCCATCATCGCCAGCACCTCGCCCGGCAGCACGCTGCAGCTGACGTCAAACAGTATCTGCAGGGTGGGCGGCGGGGAGGCATATTGGGATTCCAAGGGTGTTCTTGGGAACGGGGCAATGGCGACCAGCCCCACACGTGCAGAGTGCCAGCCGCGTCGGTCGGCCAGCACGGCGGGCGCACACCTGCCGGTGGGTGGGCCGGCTGGTGCCCACGCTGCTGATCTTGCGCTTGAGGGCCCGCGGGTTGAGGCGGGACAGCAGGGAGGGCTGCTGCAGCAGCAGCGGCACGTGCGCCGACACGTGGGTGACGCCGATGGCAATGCGCTTCTCCTCTGAGGGAGGCAGGAGGGCAGCAGGGCAGGGCAGCAGGGCGTGAGCGTCCAGGGACGCTGGAGCCAGCACGCATGCGCGGAACGCGGCAGCAGGCGAAGCTGGCATACCGTGCCGCCGCCGCCGCCAACCGCCCCAACCACCCCGCGCCGTCGGCCCACCTGACAGCGGCTCGATCACCGACAGCTCGTCCAGCTCGTGCCCCGCCCCGATCTGCACCTGGACATCCGCCTGCCCCGCCTGGGAAGCAGCCCTGGGCGTCATGCCCAGCTCCCAGCACTGGAGCTGCAGCTCTGCCTCGCGCCGCCGCTCCTCCCGACGCTCCTCCAGGTCTGGCTCAGTGCTGGCCATGCGCAGCATCTGCAGGGAGGGGGAAGGGAGGCTGACATAAGGCTCTGGCAACCTGGGGGGGCTGCTCAGCCGGCTTTCCAGCTGCACCATAGAGGTCCAGGGCGTGGGGGTGCCTACTTTTTGTGGGGAGTGCAGCCTGGTGGCTGGTGGTGGCCCCCTTGGATAGCGTAGGTTGTGGCCCACTCACACTCGCTCGTGCACTGCCCGTGAACTGAAGCAGAGAATGCTACGCTAGTGTGGAGCTGGCACAAAGACGGTGCCAAAGCTTTCTTCGGCGTTCCGCAGCCTTATCAGCAGGTGAGAAGGGGGCCTACCCGCCGCCGCCCGCCGTCTTGCCGGCTACTCACTAGCTTCCGCTCACTAGCCATGGCCTCCCATCACACGATCTGCCAGCATCGAGCGCTGAGACGTAACCCAGGGAGCGTTACAAGGGTGCCAGGCAGGAGTGCAGGCCGCGCTCCAGCGCACGGCGGTCCAGCCCCCGCCCGATCAGCACAACCTTGCTGCGCCGATCCTCGCCGGGCGCCCACGCGGGGCCCTCCACCACATCGTAGATCTCGTGCACCCCCTGCAGGATGTGCTTGCGCTCGCTGCCCTCCACATGCAGCAGGCCCTTGATGCGGAAGATGACCGGTGCCGCCGCCGCCGCCGTCGCCGCTCCCGCCGCGCCGCCTGCCGCTCCTGCTGCTGCCCCCTCGCTGCCCTGCCCCTGCCCCTGCCCCTGCTCCTGCTCCTGCTCCTGCTCCCACAGCAGCGCGTCCAGCCAGTGCCGCAACCGGGGCAGGTCCAGGGGCCGTCCCGGCAGCAGGATGGTCACGGTGCCAACCCTGCTGTCGTGCTGGCCGCCGCCGCCGCCGCTGTGGTGGTGGTGGTGGTGCTCTGGGTTGTCGCACTGCGGGTGCCCACACTGCGCTTCCTGCTGCTGCTCCGCCGCCGCGCTGCCCACCGCTGCCCCCGGCCCTGCCTCCGGCGCGCCTCCATCCACGCCGCTGCCAGGCTCCGCGCCCGCTGCCTGGAGGCCCTGCATGACTGCCGAGTAGATGCCGGTGTTGAGGATCCTGGCCAGGTCGATCTCGCAGCGCTGGCAGCGCAGGATGGCGGCCTCAGCGTTCATGCCACGGATCGTGCCCTCCACCCGCGCCAGCTGCTCCTCGCCCGCCAGGTCCACCTGCATCAGTCAGTCAGGCAGGCAGGGGGGCAGGTGGGCGGGTGGGCAGGCAGGCGGGCGGGCAGTCGGGCCTTTGCGGTGGCAGGCTAGATGAGCGAGAGGCCATCCGCTTGGCGGCGCAGAGCCGCCACTGCTGCCTGCGTGCCGGCCGCCTCCTGCGCCCGCCCGGCCGCCGCCCGCACCTTGTTGAGCAGCACCACGTCGGCAAAGGCCACCTGCTGCTGCGCCTCGTTGATGGCGCCCGCGGGGCGCGGGGCGCCCAGCTGGCGCTCCACGTGCCGCCCGTCCACCACCGTCACGATGCAGTCCAGGCACACGCTGCGGCAGGGAGGGGGAGGCATGGCTGGGGGGAGGGCACCCTGGGCATGGCGTCAAAGCAAGAGTAGCTGTAGTTTTCGCAAGCCTCCCAGACCGCCACTGCCATCGGCAAGGAGCCGGCGCCCTGCCCCCCTGCCCCCACCCCACCTCAGCCTGCCCCCAGCGCAAGCCCCCACCCCCACCCCGCCAGCCTTCCCGCCTCCCCACCTCGACTCCAGCTGCTCGTCGGTCCACAGCGCCGCCGCCACGGGCCCCGGGTTGGCCAGCCCCGTCGTCTCTATGAGCACGTAGTCAAAGCGCGAGCGCTGCTGCATCAGCGCCTCCAGCGCCCTCACCATGTCGTTCTTGGCGCTGCAGCAGATGCAGCCGTTCTCCAGCTCGGCCCACTCCGCCAGCGGCGACGCGTCGCGGCCCTGCGGCACGGCGGCGGCGTTGCGGGGCAGCGGCTTGGTCCGCAAGGTGCACAGGCCTTCATGCGCAGCGTCGCCGCTGACGCACCGCTGCTGGAAATCTCCCCACTGCCGAAAACGCCATTTCCCGTCCTGCCACGTGCCTGGGCCAGCGCGGGAGGTACAGGCGTGGGCAGCGCGGCAGGTACGGGCGCCGGGCAGCCGCCCTCACCTCGGGCTCCTTGACCAGCGCCCGCTCGATGTCTGCCGAGTCGGCGATCTCGTTGAGCAGAACCGCGCAGCGGTAGCCGTGCTTGGCGGTCAGCACGTGGTTCACAAGAGTGGTCTTGCCCGCGCCCAGGTAGCCGGTGATGAGGGTGACGGGGACGGGCGTGGGGGGCGCGGCCGGGGCGGCGGCGCCAGGCGCTGGCGCTTGCGCGGGCTGCAGGAGGAGGGTGGCAGGATGCGGGAGATGTGGCGGTGTCCACGAGAGGGCATGGTCCTGCTGCTTGGGTGTAGAGGATGCAAGTTGCGCAGGGCCGGTGACCGGGGTTCGACACCGCGGCGGTGGCAGGGCGGCGGAGTAGGGCGCCGCACCTCTGCGTCCTGATCCACGGCCCGGCATGTGGTGCTGACCTTGCCGGCACCCGACGCCTGCAGCGGCACCGCTAGAGGCACGTCTTCGTCATCGCTTGACATGCCAGAGGTAACACAGTGAAGTGAGGACGACTGGCTGGCTTCTGGATGGACTTTGTGGCACCTGCAGACTCTCAAGAAATACAGTAGGGTGCTGTATAGCTGTGGGGCTCATCACCAGCACCTGACAGCCTGGCAATCTCATGGGTTTTCCCCACCCCAGGACCCTCTATCGGCGCTTGCAGCTATCCTGTTGCACCCATGCCGCGATGGCGCGCCCTCTGCGGCTCTGTTTGGCAATAGAGTGCACTGCACGGTTGAGTGGGCTGTGGCAAACCCTGCTGCGGGGTGTCATCGAGCCACTGCTGGTACACCTGGCCCCTCTGGGCCTCGAGATGTCGCTGGTTCTGTTTGGGGCGCACCCTCCTCATAGCCCGGCAGCCGTAGAGTCAAGCTTCGGCTGGCTCAGCAGCGTGGACCAGTTTCGTTGCCTGCTGGAGGACGTGGAGTTTGTGGGAGGCGGGGGCCAGCCGGTGGCCCTGGCAGAGGCGCTGCTGGAGGCGGCTAGCTTGTTCGCGCTGCCGGCGCCGGGCGCAGCGCCGCCGCCGCAGCAGCACTGCCTGGTGTGCCTGGCCTCGGACCCGGCGGTGCGCCCGGTGCCCTGGCCCTTTGCGGAGGACTGCAGCATGGCCAAGCTGCCGGGGCTGGCAACGTCGGTAGAGCTGTGCCGCGGCCTGCGCCACCACGGCGTCCAGCTTGGACTGGTGGGCGGCAACATGATGGACAGCCCCCCCCTGCTCTGGCACCTGGCCAACCTGGTATGTGACACCCCGCTCAGGTGAGGCCTGCACACTGCCTGGCTGCATTTTTCTGGGAACCTGGGCTTTTGCTGGCTGCGCAGCCGGCTCGGCAACTAAGCAGCCTGCTGGCCTCCCTGTTCCCCCAGCGTGGCCTGCGGGTGTGCCCACTGCCCTCGCCCCGCCCGGCCCCGACTGCCTGCAGCTCGGAGGATGCGTGGATGGAGAAGCTGAAGCAGAGCCATGAGGGCGTGCTGCAGCAGCTGGTGCGGTCGGCGGTCACGCTGCCCGTCGCCGCCATGGCCATCCTCCCCTTCTGGCCGCAAGCCCTGGAGGTGCGCTGCAGGGAAGGCAGACGAGTGGACAGCGTGGGTGGTGCGGGGCACGGCACGCCTGCCCCGTATTCTGGGCTGCCCAGAAGCTCCACATACATGCCCCACTGCCCGCCCTGCCAGCCGGCGCTGCTCGCACGCTGCCGAGCTGCCCTCCGCGCCGCTCCTGGCTTGCGCGCAGGTGCTCATGAAGAGCGGAGGCAAGCCGCTGCCGCTGACCGCGGCTTCCAAGAAGTTGCTGGGTGGGTGCCTGCTGCTGCTGGTCCCCCACCAATATGGCGATGATCCCTGCCAGGCTGGCCACTGCTGCCCCAGGCCGGTGTAGGGTGGGGCAAGCCGCTCCTGCGGGCCGCCCCCGGATTCATGTGTTGCCCTGCCTCCTGGTGTGCAGCAGCATCCGTCACCGAGGGGACCGCCGCCAGGCGGGGCGATCCCGGCGGCAGCCTGGAGCCGCTGCCACCTCACTCTGAGGAGGGAGCAGCCAGGCGGGCGCGTCAGGGCACAGCCTCCCAGCCTCCCGCAGCAGCAGCAGCAGCGGCTGCCGGCTCGGCGGGCGGTTCCGCGGCCTCGGCGGCAATGCCGCCGCCGCTTGCCGGGGCAGCGGCGGCCCAGTGGACCCCGCCGCTGGCGCCTGGCGCCTCCCCTGGCAGCTTCCTGGACGTGCTGAACGCGGAGATTCTGATGTCGCCAGACGACGCCTCGCCCATGCAGGACGCCGCACTGGCCGCCATGATGCAGCAGGCGGCGCCGCCGCCCGTGGGCCCGCAGCAGCAGCAGCCCCTGCAGCAGCCCTCGGTGCAGGGCCTGCCGCTGCCGCCCATGCAGCAGGCGGCGCGGACGCAGCAGCAGCAGCAGCAGCAGCAGCAGCAGCAGTATGGGTCGGGGTCGCCAGCGGGCACCGGCGGCAGCTCCTTGGCACCTGCCTCCCCCGCCAAGTATGCCCTCATACACACAGCCAAGGTGGTGGTGGACTCCAAGGTCACGCGGGGGCCCACCCTGATGCTGGGTGTGGGCCAGGTGCGCACGCCGGGCGGCCCGCCGCCGCTGCCCCGACATGCACGCCCGCCTGCCCAGCCGCACGCCTCGGCCGGCACGCCTCCGCTGCTTGCCGGCGTGGACTCGGCGGCGCACCGCAATCCAGGCGCCCTGCGCTGCGCTGCCTGCAGATCCAGGCGCTGCCCCAGCAGGCGGCGACCCTGGTGCAGCTGAGCTGGCCGCCCCAGCTGCACATTGCCAAGAATGTGGCGGTGGGCCAGGCCTCCCAGTTCATCTCCAGCAAGCCCAACTGCATACACACGCGCCTGATGATCCAGTACGCCTCCCAGGAGGCACAGGTGAGGCGCCAGCAGCCCCTGCTTGCGCCGGCGGGGGGCCCTCCCCAGCCACGGCGCGGCTGGCGCGGCGCCAGGCCAGGCACCCTCGTCAGCCCGCCCCTCGTGGCCCGCGCCCCGGCATGCGCCTGCAGGGCTTCCCTGAGCGGCTGCTGAAGATGGGGGCAGCCGGGATCATTCTGCTCCAGAACAGCAACATGGGCGTGCTGCTGCCGCAGCAGCACCCAGGCAGGCGGGAGGTGCTGCTGCGGCTGGTCATCGTGCCCAATGCGACCGCGCCCAGGGCGAGGTGACCCGGGCGCAGCTCAGGCGCGGCACACAACCACACTGACCCCTTGCAAATGCACTGCCCTGCTGACTTGAACTGCACTGCCTGACTGACCTTGTTTTCACACCATTTTTGTTGCTCTGCACTACATCCCTATTGGTCCTTATCTCTATCTTGCTTCCTGTGAATTGGGCATGCCCACTGGGGGGTGCACCAGCACTTGAGCTCCCCCCTCGTGGCTCACACGCCTCACAGCTCCGCCACCTGCCGCCGCCGCGTCACCTCCACGCCAAGCGACTGCACCACGCCGCTGACGGCCACGTGCGGCTTGCTGACGCCGACGGTGACGGCGGCCACCCCGGGGTGCTCCCTCAGCACCTTGCCCGCAATCCGCTCAGCCACCACCTCGATCAGCTGCTGCGGCGGGCCCTCCACAATCCCACGGATGTCCCTGCAGGTCGGGGTAAGGGGGGCACAGCAAGCCGGCACTCCAGTGTCTGGGCATGAGTGCCGGTGGCCATGGCACAGCGATGATCAGCTGCGCTGCAGTCAGCGGGCACTCGACCTGCCAGCCCATGCAGCCCCCAAGCCCATCCCCCACTCACTCGTACACTTGTGCATAGTTGACGGTGCGGCGCAGGTCGTCGCTGCGCCCCGCATGGGACAGGTCTGCCAGCAGCGTGGCATCCACCACAAACTTCTGCCCCAGCTTGTTCTCCTGCACAGGCGGCCAGCCAGCGAGCAGCAGTCGGGCAAAGAGCAGCCTGGCAGCAAAGGCTGGCCCCAAGTCGGCGGTACGGCAGCAACAGGCGGTGCTCGGGCGGGGATCCAGCCCGCCACATCCTCCTCACCTCTGGGTACACCCCATGGTAGCCGTGAAAGACTAGGCCGCGCAGCAGGATTCTGTCCAGCGGCTGCCCTGCCGCATGGTCGCTAAACAGCCTCCACCCCGTGCCCGCTGCTGCCGCCGCCGACGCCGCGGGGGTGCAAGCCTGCGTGCGGCTCGCGGGGGTGGGTGGATGGCCGACATCGAGCGCAGAACCCCCCTCAAAAGCTGCCAGCGCCCTCCGCACCGGCCATAGCGACGGCAATCGGGCTGCCAGCATGGTGCTTGCCGCTCCTGCTCTCCAAACGGGGCAAGCCACGAGGGAAGATATCCTGAAGGTAATTGGGGTCCGGTAGGCGTGCAGTGGCCCGCAATGCGTGTCCTTGAAGAGAGAATCAAGAGGGACCGCCACCTCAGTGGCCGCCGCCACCCCTCCCCTGGCCACCTCTCCCCTGGCCGCAGTCTCTTGATTAATACACCTTTGGACTCTGGTACAGCATAAGACTCAGCTTGTAAGCAAGCTGACCATGCACTCGTCTGTTGCAGCCATCGCGGTGAGGGCGGCGGCCTGCTTCTGGAGCACCTCTGCGTCGCTGGGCGCCGCCACCTTGTGCCGCCGCTGGCGGCTGTCCAGCGCCAGCTTCTGCTTCAGCAGTGTCTCCACCCACGCGATGGAGGCATCCAGCTCCTGCACCAGAGCCTCGGCTGCCACCGCCTGCTGCTGTGCATGCCGCGGCGACAGTAAGCTGCGCTGCACAGCGGCGTCGTCTGGCGGCAGCCCAGCCTCCCGTGCCGCCTGGCGGAGGCCCTCAGACAGTTGCTGCTGCAGCACACCCAGCATCAGGGCATTGGAGGCCTCCAGATGGACCTCCGCAAACTGCCTGCTGTGCTGGGTGATGCCTACAGTGGCCAGCGACACATCGCCAGGCACGCTGCTCATGGCGGCCGCGGGCGATGGCGGGCCGCGAAGCACAAATGCCAGCTGGCTCCTGCCCGCGGCCGCTGGCGCGGCGACGCGAGTGCAGGCCAAGCGCTGCTGCGTGATGTGGCTCAGGCACTGCAGGTCAAGCTGTTGGGATGCCACCGCCAGCACAATGCCGTGCTGCTCCTGCGGCTGCTCAGAGACCAGGGCGGCGGGACGGCTGTGGCTCGTCAGCCACTCCGCCCAGCTGAGCTGCACCCTGCCCAGCTGCACAGGCGGCGCTGCCACAGCCGTCCTTCCGCTGAACGCCTGCACGCCTGTTGGCGACGCCGCTGCTGCGTGCTCAAGCAGCACAAACACGTCGGCCCACAGCGCTTCCCCAGGCTGCTCCTGATGCTGCTGGATGTCCAGGGCAGCGGTCAGCTGCAGCTGCTGCATGCCTGCTCCCTCTGGACCCATGCCGCCACTACTGCCGCTGCCGTCGTTGCCGCTGCTGCTGCTGGTTACAATAGTGCTGTGCTGCTGCCGGCACACCAGGCGGGCGACGGTGCTGGCGGCCAGAATTGTTGGCCTGCAACCCCTCGCCTGGTGTGCTGGGAGGCTGATGGCCGCACGCAGCCACCACTGCCCCGCTGCGCACTCTGCCTGCACGCTGTGCACCGTGATGCTGCCACCCTGCTGCTCCTGGTCCAGGCTGCTGCGCGGCGCCCCTGGCTGCCGGTGCAGCCGCCAGGTGGCAGCGCAGTGCGCAGCCAGGACCGCTTCTCCCTGCGTCACCAGCTGCTGCTTCTGCTGCTGCAGGCGCTGCATGCGCAGCAGCTCAAGCCGCCCCTCGTCCACCCGGCGCCGCATCGACTCGGCTATCTGCATGACGTGGGGGTGGTGGGTTGTGAGGGAAGTGGGGGGTGTGGGTTGTGAGGTGCCGCCCTACCGAGCGGAGCTCTGGCTTGGATGACTCGAGGGAAATCGAAATGCTTGATGCCAAGCAGCTGCCCGCTTGCCTTGAGCAGTCCCTGTCGCGCCTCCACGTCATCGCCAGGAGATGGCGTGCCCTCGCCCTCCTCGATGCCTGCTGGTGAAGGGCTGGGCGGCACGGCGTCCATCGGCGCCTGCTGGCCTGCAGCCCCAAGCTCCACTTCAGCTGCATCGCCTGATGTCCGCAAATCATCCTCGCCATGCTGGTGCGGGCCAGGTGCCTGCTCAGCAGCGGCCTGTTGCGTCGCAGCCCTGCACAGGCGACAACAGGGCAGGCTGAGCGGCGGCGGCGGCGGGTATCGGCAGCGCCGACACAGTGTGCCCATCGATCCCTGGCTCACTTCTTCTGCCCGCCTCCCTGGCCATCGCCCTCCACACTGCGCTTGAGCGCCAGGCGGCTCCTCTTCTGCATCGGCTTGGGTGATCACGTCCTCGTCCCCACGCTGCCCGCACACCGCCTTTACACTCTGTCGATTGGCGCAGGGAAGGTTGGACGTGGCGTCCAGGTTGCCGCCATGTCATTCTTCCTGCATGGAACAGATGGGGAAGCTCCAAAGAACAACGGCCTGGTCTCTCCGTTGCTGCACGATTCAGATCCCAGGACGCAGAGTTCAGTGGACGCTGTAGAGCACAGTGCCAGGAGCACCAATCTCCTCGCCTGGCTCCTCTCGCCCCAGGGAGCGGGGCCGGGATCCAAAATGGAGACGGAGCTGGCGGCAGCCTGCACCCTGCTGGCAGCGGAGTTCCCAGACACGCCCCGCAGCGTGCTGGAGTCGGCCTTGCGAGAGGTGGACCTAGACATCCCAGCAGCGCGTCGCAAGCTGTTGGAGCTGCAGGCAGAAAGGCGCGGGCAGGGGGACTCCTTCCGGGCAACGTCGGTGAGTGGCCTATCAATCCCGCCCCCGCTCCCGCCGCCGCCGTTGGTGTCCTGCTGCCCGCTGTCCCACCAGCCTTGCCCACCCCCTGGCCGTCATGGAACTGAAGGCATGGTGCGTGCACACTCGCGCTGCCATCTGCCTGCAGTCGTCACAGCTGGCAGAGACGCCGTCATCGCCTGACAGCTCCTGGTTTAGCACCACCGGCTGGAACCAGGCAAGCCAGTGCTTACCTGGGCATGGCCCCTCATTGCCCGCGTGGATGCCCCATGCTTCATCCGCGACTGGCGCTTCTCAGAGCACCGGCAGCGCAGCGCTGCCCTGCAAAACTTGCTCATGCTGTCGGTCGCTGCTTGCCTGGCCCCACCTGCGTTCCGCAGGGCATGCGGGATCTGGGGCTGGAGTCGTTTGGGGCGCAGCTGTCGCTGCTGGGCAAGCAGATGGCCAGCAGCCTCAATGCCATCCTGCCCGCCGACCTCAACCCCTTTGCTTTTGATGAGGACGACTACGATGAGGAGGAGCTGGCTGCTGCCGCCGCCGCCAAGTGAGCAGCAGCCAGCAGCCAAACCAGCCACACAGGATGGCTCGGCCACAGGCTGCCGACAGGGTTTGTCGCTCTGAGGGGCGCCGAGCGAGAGCGCTGCATGCACTGTCCCTCCTCTGCCTTGACGCATGTGCATGCGCGCCGCGGCCTGGCTGCAGGGCGAAGCAGGATGAGCGGGAGAAGGCGAGCACAGCGGTGGCCGCCACCGCCCGCAAGCTGAACAACCGGCGGGGCGGGCCGCGGTCCCCCGGCGGGCAGTTTGGGCCCGATGAGGAGGAGGAGGAGGAGGAGGACACCGATAAGCTCAACTGACACCATGTGTGGTTAGGCCGCGGCGGTATGTGCGTGTCCCCGCTCGGTGCACCTTGCATGCACGAGCGCTTGCGCAGCTGGGATGCCTCCCGCGCCTTGGCCCATAATTTATATGCCGTATCCCTTGGCGGATGCCAGCCAATCGGCACCCCTAAACCCCCTTGTTGAATTGGCACTCGCCCCCATGTTGTGCTGCCGTGTAGCAGTGTGCGCACACGCTGCCTTGTTCATTTGCTATTTTTATCTTTCGTCTCCTGCTGAGGTCCCCGCATCTGTGGATGCTCCTTTCATTCCGGCCTGTCTGCGGCTGCTGCCCAGTTGCAAGCCGCTGTGGGCCTCCCCCCCGCCTCCCCGCTTCCCTCGTTCCATGCCCGTATGCTCGTGGGCCGGCCAGCGCAGGAGCTTGCACGCGGCGCAGAGCCTTGTAATGCACTGCAGCACCGTGCTGTCAGCGTCCCGAGGTCACAGCAAAATGGTACAGCAAAGCGGGATCAGCCATCACAGTGGACGGCGGAGGTCAGTGCTAGGTTCAACGCAACACGGCAGGTCAACACACGTCGCAGCGCAAGGGTGCACCGGCCCCGGCCTGATGCCCAGGCCGGCAGGCCGGTGCTGGGGAGGCGGGAGGCGGTGCTGGGGCCTGGGCGGGCAGCCCCCCGCTCCCTACCTCCCTACAGCTCTTTGTCCAGGTCCAGCACCACCCGCTTGAGCACCACCTCTGACTTCTGGTGCGCGCAGGCCGCGTCCTTGGCCACCCGCTGCCAGCGCTCGCCGTGGTGCGGCTCCGCCGCCAGGAACCGCTTCACCACGCCCTCCTGCTGCTCGGGGCTACCAAACTGCGTCTCGAACTTGAGGTAGGAGGCCCAGAAGTCGCCCACGTCTGCGGGAGGAGGGGGCGGTGGGTGGGAGGCAGGCAGGCAGTGCAGGAAGGTAAGGTGGCGGCACGCATGGGCGTGAGTGTGCGCCCCCGTGTGCGATGGTGATGGCGAGGCAGTGCAGGAGGCAGTCGCGCGGGTGGGATTGAAAGGAACGCCGCTGGCCGGCGGTCGCAGCGCAGACGGCCGGGGCCCAGCACCACAGAGGCCCCTCCCCGCCCCGCCCCTCCCCTGCCCTCCCCTCCCCCTCCCCGTCCCCGTGCCGCCTCACCCGGGTTGAGCGTGACCGCTCGGTTGAACCAGGAGCGCGCCTTGTCCACCTTGCGGTCCAGCCAGAACAGCGCCGCCACGGCCGCCACGACGTGAGGGTCGTCATTACACTTCTTCAGCGCATCCACTGCAGGGGTGGAGGAGGGGAGGGTCGAGGTGGAGGAGGCGGGGAGGGGAGGGGCACACGACGCGCTGTCGGCTCCAGCCGGTGCAGGGGAGGCCGGCCCAGGCGCGCCGCCTGCCTCCAAACACAGACACGCAGAAGCCACACCCGCCCAAACCAGCAGCAGCCGCGGCCCGCCCGCCCGGGACCCCCCCGCGCACCCGATCTGCTCTTGCGCTGCGGGCGGGGCGCCATGTTGATGGTCTCCGCCCACAGCGGCCCGCTGTCCGGGCAGTCCTGCAGCGCCTTGGCCATGAGCGCCTCCCCAGCCTTCTGGTTCTGCGCCCGCAGCTCGGTGCGCACGGCAGCCAGCCACAGCTGCGCGTTCTTGGGGTTCTTGAGGCGTGCCTGCTCCAGCAGCGCGCGCGCCTTTGCCACGTTGCCCGCCCGCTCCTCCAGCCGCGCCGCAGACACCCAGAGCGGTATGCAGTCCAGGCAGCGCTTGATGCCGGCCGCGTACGCGAGCCGCGCCGCGTCGGCGTTGCCTGCGGCAGCGGCGGCGGCGCGGGCGGCGCGGTCGCCTCGCAGCGGCGGCAGCAGGGGCTGCCGCACGGCTGGGCAGCCCGCAGGCAGCGGCGCAGCTCGTCCAACAAAGCCACACAGATTGCCGCAACACGCACCGCACCCCCACATAAGCCACCCCAGCCACCACCCTCCACACACGGCCCTGTGTCCCAGCCTGCCTGCCCCCGCAGCCTACAGCCCCCCACCTAGCCGCCACCATGCCACCATGCAACCCACCTAGCCGCTCCTCCAGCTGCCCCAGCATGATGTGCAGCTTCCAGAAGTACGGGAAGCGGCGGATGCCCTCCTGCAGCAGCTCCCGCTCCGCCCCCGCCGCCCCCGCCTCGCGCTCCACCATCGCAGACTTCATCCACACGCGCGCCGTGCTGGCCGGCGGGTGCTCCCGCGCCTTGGCCAGAATCAGCCTGCGAGTGGAGTGGGGGAGGGTGGGGGAGCAGGCAGACGCAGGGTGGCGAGCTGAGCACCTGGCAGGCACGGCTGGGCAGCAGCAGGCGCGACGGTGCAGCAGCAGGCCAGCAGGCCAGAGCAGACGGCCACGTCGGGCACCACCCCCGCCCCTGGCCACATGGCCAGCTGCCACGCTGGCGCCCCCCTCCCGCCTACCTGGCGCGGTCCAGCTCAGCGTTCTCAAACTCCACCTTGAACGCCGCCAGCCAGATCTCCTCGCTGTCCGGGTTGCGCACAAACGCCTCCTCCAGCACGGACCGAGCCCCGGCCACGTCCCCTGCGCCAGGCGGGACGCAAACGGCAGCAGGCGGGTGGGACGCATGGCGAACGCGGCCGCGACGGGTGCAGGGTGCGGGAAAAGAGGTCGCACACTCGGCGGCTCACCGCCACCCACCCTCCCAACACATAAACGTGCCACACCGCCACACACCCGGCCTGCTGACCCCATCCCACCTGACAGCCACTTCTCCTTGGCCGCCATGAGCCACAGTACCTCCGCCTGTGGGCAGTACTGTACCGCCTTGCGCAGCAGCGCATCCAGGCTCTCCCGGCTGCCCGCCGCCTTCTCCAGCTGCGCCGCGCGCCGCCAGATGCTCTTCTTGCCTGGGAAGACGGAGAGGGCGTGGGCGTAGATGGCTCGCGCCGTCTCCACAGAGCCCCGCCGCATGCACTCCTCTGCGGCATGGGGGCAGGGGAGGGAGGGGCAGGCGGTGGGGCTCTGGGCACGGTGGGGCCGAGCTGGCAAATGGGTGTCAGAACCGGAGGCAGCAGGTGCCGCAGGGGGAGGAGGCGCGCGGCCCGGTCCCTGCGTGAGGTACCGCCACGGTACCCACCCGCATCCGCCATCCACGTGCGCTTGCGGTCCTGCTCCTCCACGCCGTGCCCCACCACCTCCTTGACGATCGCCCGGCACGTGGCCGCCATCGGCGGCTGGCTCTTCTCTGACGCCTCCGCCTCCTGCGTGACAGGGGCAGGCCAGGGCAACGGGGAGGCAGGCTGGTGGGCGAGCCAGGCAGGGGAGCACAAGCAGCCACGCGCTGGTGGCACAACAGCCCGCCGTGCACCCCCCAGCCCTTGCCCCGCCATGCAACATCCGCTCCCTCCTGCTGCATCCCGCCTCCCTGCCCGCGCGCTGGACCCGTCACGCCCTCCTGCTCCCGTCACGCAGCCCCCCCACCTTGAGCCACCAGTCCCGGTCTATGACCACGCCGTTGGTGGCCAGGCTCTTGATGCCGCGGGGGATGATCTTGTCGGGCATGGCGGCCTGCCCGTTGGCCTCCTCCAGCTTGGAGGCTGCGGGGAGGGGGAGGGGCGGGCGGTGAGGGATGGGAGGCGAGGGGCCGTGGCCGGGTGCTGTGTGGGGTGCGGGGATGAAGAGAGGCGCGATGCCGGCGAGCTGCCGGCAGGGGCTGGGCAGGTAGCTTGGCGAGGCAGGGTGCGGCGCAGCGCATGCGTCCACGCCCCACACCACCACGCCCCGCACCACGCACCACACCGCCACCCCGCCTTCGACTGTGCGTGCCCCAGGGGCTGCCCAGGCCGCGAGCGTGCGCCCAAGGCCCCCCGTGCCAGGCCGCCCCGCCCGCACTCCTCACCTGTGATCCACACTTCCGCCGAGGTGGGCACCGCCTGCCGCGCCTTGTTCAGCACCTTGCGCGCATTCTCATACGCCTCCAGCCGCGCCAGCGCCAGCCACAGCTCCACGTGCTGGGGGCAGCACTCCACGGCGCGCGACTGCGGGGGAGGGCAGGGCAGGGCAGGGCAGGGCAGGGCAGGGCAGGGGCAGGCGCGCGCGGGTGGGCGGGACGATATGCTGGGTGCCGTGTAGTGTAGTGTAGTCATCAGGGAGGCACCTGCGGCCAGCCAGGCAGCCCCCGGCAGCGCCCGCACGCCCTGCAGGCTGGCAGCACCAGCAGGCGGGCGCACCAGCAGCACCCTCGCGTCGTCCTCCTCACTAATCTCCACCACCGCCTTCCACAGCCGCACCGACTGCGGGATGCGCTCCAGGGCCCTGCAGCCGGGTGGGCAGGCGGGCAGGCGGGCGGGAAGGCGGGCGGGCAGGGGCACTCGGCAGGCGCAGCCGGGCTGGCCGCCAGCAAACGCGAGCCGCCCGGACAAAGCGGCAATGGGCGATGGGCCTGCACGCAACTCGTGCAGCAGCCCAGCCGGCCAGCCTACGGAGGCCCAGCAGCCCCACCCCACCCGCCCCGCCAGGCCCCGTGCCGCGCAGGGAGGGGCGGCCCACCTGAGCAGCACGCGCTTCTTGGCGTCGTCGCTCTGCTCCAGCCGCGCCGCCTGCATCCAGAGCTTGACGCTGTCGGGCAGCGCCGCCACGCCGCGAGCCAGGATGGCCTTGGCGTTCTCGGCCGTCTGCGGGGGCACGAGGGGAGGCGAGGGAGGAGAGGAGGAAGCGAGGGAGGCAGAGAGGCAGGTGAGGCGGGCAGCGCGGGTGGTGCGCCGGGGCAGCAGGCAGCGGGAGGCTGCGCTGGGAGCGTGCCAGGAGCCTGGCAGGCGAGCAGCAGGGAGGCGCGCCCGCCAGGCGCCGCGCGCCGCGGTACCGTGCCGGCCTCGCAACGGGCGCCGCCCACCTGCAGGCGCGCCGCCTCCAGCCACACGTCCTCGTTGCTGGGGCACAGCTCGCAGCCTTTCATCATCAGCTCACGCGCCTGTGGGGGCAGGGGCCAGGGGTGGTGGGTCAGGCGTGTGTCGGATGGTGGGTACAGGACAGCGTCAACATCTGGGCCTAAACACCCACGGATGCAGCTGACAGCCCGCCGTCCTGCTGCAGGCGTGCCAGGGCAGCCCGCTTGCCTGCTGCAGCTTGCCGGCCACCTCCTCCAGGCGCGCCGCCGCGATCCAGCCGGGCGCGTGGCGCGGGTTGGTGTTGATCACGCTCTTCAGCAGCAGCCGTGCCTTCTTGATGTCGCTGATCTCCGCGTCTGCAGGGCAGGCAGGCGGGCGGGCAGGCAGGGAGCGTGTGTGTATGTGCATGCAAACGTGGGTGGGGTTGCGGGGACCAAGCCCCCGCCCTGTGCCAGGGACACAGCCTGCCCCAGCAACTGCAGGCCCCAGGCCCCACAGCCGCGCCCGGCCCCGCAGCTGCCCCAGGCCCCACAGCTGCCCCCAGCCACCCACCCGACTTGAGCGTGACCGACTTGAGGTCTGTGAGGTATCCCTTGGGGTCCACCACCGTCTGCCCGCTGACCGAGTCGGAGATCTTGTCCAGCTTCAGCTGCACCACCGTGTTGCGCCCCGCGCCCATGGCCGTCAGGTCGGTGGTGATGCCGCCGCCCATGGGCGTCTCCAAGCCGCCGGGGCCGTGCGCGTCGATGGCGGTGGCGGTGGCGTCGCGCGCCGCCGCGCCCGCCAGCAGCGAGTCGGGCACGGGGGTGAAGCGGTCCAGGTGCTTCTGCTTCTTCACCGTGTAGTCGCCAATGTCGGGGATGGCCTCCCACTGCGGTGGGCGGTGGGGTGGGGTGGGGGGGCAGGCGCAGCAGGCTGGGGCAGCAGGCTGGGGCAGGGCCCGGTGGGCGGCTGGCGCGGGAGCAGGGTGTCGGGGGGGCAACGGGCAGGCGCGGCGCGCGCCGCGTGCAGCACCCCAACACCCTCATCCACAACAGGGCTCCCTCTCCTTTGACCAGAACACACCCACGGCGGCTTCCAGAGCCGGCTCCCAGCCGCCAGCACGAGGCCGCGACCCCACCCGGCAGCCCTCCCAGCCCCGCCAGCCCCACCTGCTCCATGGGCACATCCGCCAGCTTGCGCTTCAGGTCGGCAAACTGCTCCTGGATCTTGGGGTTCTCCGCGCGGAACTGCTCCAGCTCCTCCTTCAGCTTCGTCTCGCGCCGCTCCTGTGTGCGACACGCGCGCGCGTGAGTGTGTGTGTAGGTGGGGCATAGGCGGGCAGCCTCGGTGCCCACCAGTGCTGCCAGCCCACCAGCCTGCAAACCAGCCCCCTGGGGCCCTCTCCCCACAGCCTCTGACCCGCCCCGGCACCTACCCACCCACCAACACCAGCCGCCCCGCCCCGCCCACCTTGCGCCGCTCATCCATTCGGTCCTCCACATTGTCCCACACATTGTCGGCCTCCCGATCCTCCTCATCATACACCCCCGTGGCTCCCAGCACCCCCGCATCGTTCCCCAGGAAGGCGTCAAACTTGGTGTCGTCGGCGCCCGCATCCGCGTCGGCCTGCACCCATCAAGGCAGCAGAAGCAGCGCAAGCGGCGGCGGCGACGGCGGTCGGGAGCGGTGGCGGGGGGACCGGGCGGCAGGCTGACGGCAGGGCCTGGAACCTCTGCTGTCCTGCGCCTCCACCACCAGCACAACCAGACCGCCAGCACGGGTGCCTGCCTTGTCTTTCTTCACGTCTGGGGCGGGCATCGACGGGCCGATATCCGAGCGGGTGGTGAAGCCCGCCGCGCCGCGCCCCATGCCCGCCACATAGCCTGACGGCGCTCTGAGCGCATTGAAGTCCACCTTCAAGCCTGCAGCAGGGAAGAGTCCAAAGGCGTTCAGGGCCCCAAACAAGGCCAGCAGGAGGCACACTGTCGGATCATGGCGTCGGGCTGTGGCGGGCGGGGTCGCCGTGCGTGCCATCGCGCTGTACACCCGTCGCTCACCCGGGGGCAGCGGCTGGGGCCGCACGCCCTGCCTGCTCATGGTGTGCTGCTGCTGCTGCTTTGCGCTTTGTGTGTGCTGCTACAGGAAGGGGCCCATTTCTGTAAGAATTGGGTGAAAGCGGATGCTGATCTAGGGCTGTGAGCGCGCTGGGAACAGCACAAAGGGGCCAGCACGCCCAGCATGCCGCCATGCGGTTCGCCGCGCATGTAGATAGCAACGCTGCTGATCCTACAGCAATGGGTCGGTGGGGTTGAACCACGCTGACAAATGGCCCGTGCGGCTGCTAAACAATAGGAGACGTCATCGAGGGGGCCTCACTGTCAACGGTCTGCCCCGCGGGCGGCCCCCGGGAGGTCATCTGCGGCGAGGGATGTCCAGGCGCCTGTGAGCGACGTGAGAGACGTGTGGGTTGGCGACGCAAAGGCTGGACCTGCCTGGACGCTGGCTTCGACGTGCGGGTACGCGGTGGGGCACGAGGCACTTTGTGGGCACTAGCGGTAGAACTGCTGGTGGGACGTTGTGTGCAGCGGTGATTGCGTGGTAGGCTCCCCTCTCTGCATGATGAGATGGGTACACAATAAGCAACAGTAGGAGGAAACGGGAAGCAAGAGATTCAGTTTCAGAGGCTTTCAGAGGAGTGTCGGCTGAGCTGGCGGCTGCCACCGCCCCCAGCAGGCATGTCATGCCCTCCAGCCCTTGGCCCTGCCCCAAAGACGGCCGAAAGAGCCAGCGGTGCCGGTCAGCACCCAGGCCAATACAGCCCCCGCAGACGGCAACCGCCACCCTCACGAACAACCGGCCGCAAGGCACCCTGTTCACCGCTTGGCATCCTAGCAGCAGCCGCGGGGCGTCGGCGGGCATTCGGGATGCGCACCTCCGCGCGCCTGTTGGCCGCTGCACTGGCGGCGGCGCTGCTGGCGGCGGCGGTAGCCCACCAGTGCGCCGCCCACGACACGCCCAGCCACAGCGGCGACCCGCGGTGCCGCACGCGGCGACCACGGCCGCACATGCCGCACGGCGAGTGCACCCACCTGGTGCACCAGTACATAGCGCAGCACACACAAGACTTGGGCGGCACGCCGCACGATGTCAACAAGCTGCTCTTCTTCCTGCACGTCCCCCGCGCAGGTGCTTGCTTGCTTGCATGTTGCAGCAGCATCTGAGCCACAGCGTGCAGTGCTGGCCAGCTGGAGAGGCTGCCGATGGGTCGGGGCTGGCTGGCTGGCCGGAGCAGCCGCCGATGCCGCCGGATGCGGGCGCAGCCTCGGTGCTCGGGTTTCGCTGCGCCCGCCCCTGCTTCCTGGCCCACCGCTCCTTGCGCGTGGGCCCCACGCCTGCAGCCGGCAAGACATACGCCAACTGCTTCCTGCGCACCGCGCTGCCGCCCTCCAAGCGCTGCGCCAAGAGCTACGACCAGCTGCGCCTCAACGTGTCGATGGAGGATTGCCAGACGCTCATCAGCCACGACGACTTCAGCATCTCCCAGTTCTTCCCAGAGGGCGCCGCCACCATCACGCAGCTGCGCAGGTGGGGGCAGGCAGGCCGGGGACGGCCGCATGCATGGCAGCGCCTCGCACGCGGCAGCCGCTCCTGCTGCTCCGCCGTGCGCCGGCGGCACGCGGGGTGACGCTCAGCTCGCCCTCTTCCTGGCACGCTTGTGCCTGCCCTCCTGGATCAGGCCTGTGGAGCGCATCATCTCCTCCTACGAGTTTGCGGTGGATGTGGCGGCCAAGGGCGTGCTGCACCCGGAGCGGCCCCGCAAGAACCCCAAGCGCCGCGCCGACTTTGTGGGCACGCTGGAGGTGTGGCCCTGGTCCATCCTCATCCCCTGGTTCAAGCAAGACATGGCGGACAGGGTGAGGGCGGGGGCTTTGGCGGGGTGGCCATAAGCTTCAGCCGTGGGGCGCGTAGCGCTGCTGCTTTATTCGAGTGGTACTGCTGCCTGTTGCGGCACATCTACTGTGCGTTGTACTGCTCTTGCTGCCATTCATTCGTGTGTTCCCTTTGGTCGCCATGGCACACGTGGCGCACCTCCATGCTGCTGTCGCAGATGGAGAAGCTGCGGCTGCAGACGCTGAACGACCTGACGGCGTGGCGGGCCTTCACCTCCCCAGACAACCGCACCTACTACTGGAATGAAGTCAAGAACTCGTCGGGTGCGGCTGAGCCTCATGCTGCCATGCCGGCCAGCATCCGAGCGGCTGGGGGCTGCCCGGCACGGCGAGGCGGCACAGCTGGGATCAGGCGGCAGCAGCTTGCCGGGCAGCCCCACACGCCGCAGCGTTGCTGCGGCAGTCTGCCCCTGTCTGGTGCACGCTTATGTGGGATCCCCTGGCACCTGAGCCACACTCCACCCCCACCCGCCCTGCTCCAGTGTGGACGCTGCCCGACCCCGAGCCCGTGCTCAACCCGTACAACAACTCTCTGGTCATGCCGCTGCACGAGTTTGTGGAGCACCCCATTGCCGAGGAGCTGCTGCACAACGGCGCCGCGCTGCAGGTGGCTGAGGCCCACTCAACTCAGCTCAGCTGCCGGGTGTCCCCAACTCAAAGCGCTGCTGGTCCTGACCCCCAACAATCCACTTGCTGCTGGGCCTGACCCCCAACCACTTATGCTGTCGCGCCCGCCCACTCCCTGCCAGGTGCTGGGCCTGACCAACTACTCATACTGGGCGGGCACAGAGGCGCTGCGCAGGTGCGTGCGCTCCAACAGCATCGCGCGCGAGATGCTGCTCACGCTGGCCACCAAGCGGCTCAAGACCATGGCGCACGTCGGCCTCACCGAGCGCCTGGACGAGTCGGTGCTGTCGCTGGCCGCAGACTTGGGTGGGTGGCCGCTGGCCTGCCGGCCTGGGCTGGCGCACGCCGCGGGGCGCCGCCGGGCACGCTGTGCGGTGCGCCTGCGCCTCGCCTAGCCCCTGGCCTGCCGCGTGGCCAGCAGGCGCCACCTCATGCCCGTGGTGCAGGCCTGGGGCTGGATGGTGCGGCCTACAAGTACACCAGCTCATCGGCCTTCACATACGACGACGGCGCCGCAAACGACGATGGTGCGCGCGGCTTGGGCTGGCGGCGGAGTACACCTGTGTGTGGGGTGGGATCGGTCGTTGCCAGGCGGCGGGAGCGGCGGGCTGGCCAGATGTATCGATGTGTGCCCACCCCTGCCCTGCCGCTCCCCACCACCCCCGCAGACCTGCTCACCTTCTACTCCGCCATCGAGGGCCACCGCAACCTGACGGTGGCGCGGCGCGAGGCGGCGCAGCGTGTGAAGGCCATCGTGGAGCAGCAGCGGGACCTGAAGCGGGAGCTGGATGTAAGCTGGATGGGCCCTGGCCTGCCCTGCCGTGCGCTGTGCGGCGCTGCATCCCCCTCGTGTGCGGAGATGGCGTCGGTGCTGCCCCACCTGCTGCAACGCAAGGCATCCACAGCCAGCCGTACCTGCCGTACCAGCCGTACCAGCCGCCCCTGGTGGCGCTGCCCTGCAGGAGCTGACGCCGCGGCTGACAGCGCTGGTGGACAGGGAGGCGCAGTGGCTGGAGGAGCAGCATGCCCTGAAGGCAGCAGCGGAAGCGGTGGACAGCGGAGCAACAGATTGGGAGGCGCAGGAGGGTGAGGGAGGTAGGGAGGCGCAACATGGCGAGGCAGACGAGGAGGCGCAGGAGGGAGAGGCAGAGGGTGAGGCGCATGAGGGCGAGGAGGCGCATCATGACGGCCAGACGTCAGAGACAGCCGCAGAAGAAGATGCGGCAGAAGGAATGGCCGAGGACGCGGCCAGCGGCAGCGAGGAGGTGTTGGATGGCGACACGCAAGTGTCGGATGAGGAGGGCGAGGCGCAGGCTGACGGCGAGGGCGAGGACGGTGCTGCTGGCAGCGACGACGCGGCGGAGGGGCAGGGCGAGGCTGGGGCCCAGGAGGAGGAGGAGGAGCCGGAGGAGGAGGATGAGGGGCTCACAGATATCGACAGCCCCTGGGCAGAGGTGGGAGCGCTCGCCGCGGGCTGCTCTGCCCCAACCGCTGTGCGCCCCGCTGCCATTCTAGGCACCGTATGCGCTGCTGGCAGCCCCTCACCTGCCCTCCCCGTGTGCTGCAGGAGATTGTGGCGCTGGACCAGGAGGTGCTGGCCAAGCAGGAGCGCATGAAGCAGCTGGAGAGCGAGCTGGTGTCCCTGCAGAACTCGGGCCTGGTTGTGTCGGCAGGTGGGGGCGGAGCGTGCCGGGCGGGCCAGCTGCTTGAAGGCCTGTTGGGGCCGGCAGTGGCAGCCAGGCACTACCTTCCTGCCGTGATATGCATGTGGCATGGCCGTGTGCCGACGCCGCTGGTTTGTGACGGCGCCTGGCCCGCGGCGCGCTGCGCGCAGATGAGGCCACGGGGCGGGCTCGGCAGCTGATCCCCGATGAGCACTACCTGCTGCCCAGCGAGACGCTGGGGCACGCGTATGTGCGCTGCGCCAATGTGAGGGACATTGCGGCCGTTGCCGGAGAGGGAGGGAGGGTGGGCCCGGGATGTGTGCGGGTGTGTGCCGATAACCATGCCTGGGATCCTGGGCTTGCTTGCCTGCTTTCCGTCGCGCCCGTTGCGCCTCACCATCTGCTCCCGCCGTGCGCGCAGGCGGGCAAGGGGCGGCGTGAGCGGCGCAAGGTGTACAAGCACCTTCGCACGCCTTGGGGCGAGACATTCCGTTTCGAGGCTCAGTCGCGGCAGCTGATACCCGAGGATGTGACGGCACGCATCCACCAGCTGAATGCGCTGGATGAGGAGCTGTGGAAGGCGGGGCACGCGCTGCTGGAGGTGCGCCGTGCCGGGCTGGCCTGCCACGCGGCGGTGGTGGGCCGGGCATGGAGCTGCTGCCTGTGGCGTCTGCTGCCCGCCGCTGGGGTGTGCCCACATGCTCCGCCACGTTCTTTGGTCTTTGAGCGTGCTGTTGGGCTGGCAGTCTGAGTCGTGAACAGCCTGTGCGTGACCCGCCCCACCTTTGCAACCGCACTGCGCAGAAAAAGCTGGAGGAGCAGCGGGCTGCGGGGCTGCTGCAGTCCTTCCCGCCGTTTGCCTCCCCGCAGATGGCGACGGCGGAGCAGCAGCAGAGCAGCAAGCGGAGAAAGCTGCACAGCACTGGGGAGGTTGTGAGGGAGGAGGGCCCGCAGGCGCACCGGCCCCCTGTGCATGACAGCGGCGCAGAGCTGTATGCCAATGACAGGGCAGCAGCGGCGGCGGCAGCCAACGACAGCGAAGCAGCCAACAACAGCGACTCAGCCAATGACAGCGCGGCAGCCGGCGACAGCGAAGATACCGCTGGCAGCACAGGCGCTACCGCCAACGACACCGAGGCCACCGCCCCGGAGGCTTCCACCACCTCCGCCACTGCCGACGCAATGATCAACGCCAGCGCCCAGTCAGCTCATGACGAGCTCTGATTCAACACCCTGATATTGCTGGTTTCTTTTTAGCATTGCTGCCGCTGCACTTGTATGCCTGCCTGAATTGCTGCCGCGGTGCACAGCACCACGGCCCGCCTGCGCCAGTGTGACACCTGGTGCGTGGACGAGTTGGGCAGTTGCAGTGACAATGGAAACTGGATTGTGGGCAGTACAGAAGAGGAGAGAGCAGAAGTGGTTGGCTGCAAAAAGACGGATGCAGTTTGGCACAGGTGGTTGGTTGTACAGGGTGGAGCGTTCAGTACATGAGAGCCATTGCACAAGTAAGTACCAGCAAGGGTGGGCCAGCTGGTGACCAGTGGGATGAAGTGGTACACGAGCTGCCGGGTGCTGGCCGAGGGCAAGGGGCAGCTAGCCGGTGGGGCGCACCAGCGCTGCGCCAGCTCAGCAGCGGCGGACGGTGGGGCGGTACCGGGTGGCCGCCTCCAGCTGCGCCTTGCGGCGCTGCAGGGTGCTGACGTCGGCCTTGGCCTTCTTCACGCAGGTTTGTATGTAGGACAGGCTGCAGCATCATGCACAGGTGCATGGAGAGGGAGGCGTGCGTGAGCACACGCAGCAGGTTCAGGCACAAGGCACGGTACCGGCATCCAGACCTGCAGGCCCAGGCGCCCCGCCCCAGCAGCCCTCCAGCATGCCCTGCAGGCCCCGGCCCAGCCCACCTGTCCCACATGCGGTGCAGCGAGTCGCGCTCCTCTGCGATGCTGGCCTTCCAGAACTCCACATCCCTTAGCATGTCCCTGAGCGAGGCGCAGAGGTCCGGGGTGAGGCGCGGGCAGCGCGCCAGGTCGCCGCCCGCCGCAGCCAGCGCCAGCAGCTCCTGCAGGGGTGGGAGGGCGATGGGGGACGTGGGAATCAGCACCCCAGCAGCAGAGGGCAGGCCTAAATCAGCCCGTGGGGTGGGAAGGCGTGACCCCTGCCCTCCCCTGCACAGGCGATTCCGCGCCGCCCGCCCACCTTGCCGCGCTGGCTCTCCATGTGCGTGCTGGCCCTGCCTGCCACGCTGGCCAGAAGGCCGTTCAGGTCGTGCTTGCGGCGCCTGCACAGCGGGGCGGGCTGCCGCGCATCTGATCCTGCCGGCATGGTTGTGCAGGGAGGTGAATGTGTGCCACATGCACAAGAGGGCAGCGCATGCACGGGCTCAACGGCGGGCCAGGCTGCTCACGACAGCGTGCGGTCCATCTGGTTGAGGCTGGCCAGCAGCGTCTGGGAATTCTTCTCCAGCATGCCAGCGCTGGAATGGCAGGGGGAGGGAGCGGCAGCCGGGGGAGGTGTCGGGAGGGGCAGAGGCGCTGCACAAAGGGTGCATGCAGCAGCAGAGGGCAGGGGCCCAAGTGTGTGCTGTGCCGCCCCCCCAGCCGCCCACCTGTCCTCCAGCTCATCCAGGTATCGAGCTTTGCTGCGCAGCTTGTGGCACGCGTTGTCCAGCAGGCAGGCGCTGCAGGCAGGGAGGAGGAGGAGCGGAGGCGGTCGGTGTGGGCCGCACCGTCCGGGCGGCCGCGCAACGCCACGCGCATGTGCCAGAAGTTGTTCGGCGGCGGCGGCGGCGGCGGCGCACATGAACTTGTCGCGCCACGTGCGCTGGCGTGGGTAGTCCACGGCCTTGGCCTCACCAAACTCCTCCTGGAAAGTGGAAAGTAAAAGGCACACAGCAGCAAGCCGTGAGGCAATGGCGGCAGGTGGCGCTGGGCTCCCCCGCTGCAGAAGCTCTGCCACTAGTGGAACCAAGCAACCTGAGTCAAGGCTCCAGGCCGGTGTGGCCGAAACGCTTGGATCCACCGCTCGCTGCGTCTGATCTAGGCCGGAATAAGCCAGGCCCACCTCAAAAGCGGCGCGCCATGCTGAGTCGGCGGCGAGGCTGGCGGCCCGCCAGTGCCTGGACACCTGGGCGGCGGCAGCTAGGTCGTTCACCTGCGGGACCAGGCGGCATGGCTGGGTGAGAGGAGGTGGAGCGGGCGGCAGAGAGCAAGCGGGAGCGCACCTTGAGTTTGTCTAGCACCATCTCCAGGACGTCTGTCGAGTCCAAAGCGGGTGGCAGTTCCTCCATGTCCTGCTCCGCCATGGTGTCGAGGTGGGGCTGGAACCCTCCTTTCCGTCCCGACCCTCCTCTCGGCTTGGGGCGGGGCTTACGCGCTGTCACCCCCACCAAGGCGATTTTGTTGGACATGCAGAGGGTGCGAAGTCAGGCTAGCGATCAAGCTCGTTTGGGGAGCCTGTGGGCAAGGCACCATGGCGCCGCCACCATGGCGCCAGCGCTGGGATCCCATGGGAGAGTTGCACAGCAACTCGGTCCTTGCCAGTTCTCTTTTACGGTTTCAGACGCAGCATGGAGTGTTGCATGCATGCATGCACAAAGAATGGTCAATGCTTGGAATGGGTTGGTCGGCAGGGTGGCTCACTCCTGCTTCGCGCCCTCCCGCTCCGCCACCCATTGCTTCAGGGCTGCCCGCTGCCGGCGGTTGAGGCGCACCCGCGGCCGCTCCGCCTTCATCACCGCCTCCGCATCCGCCGCGCCCTTGGCTACGCCCTCAGCTGCATCACAGCAGGGCGATAGCAGATGCTCAGCCGGCCGGGGAGGCAGCCATAGCCCCTGGCATGCCGACCCGCCGCATTCCCAGCAGCCTGGCCCGTAGCAGCAGCAGCAGCAAGAGCAGCAACGGCAGCATACCCGGCAGCAGCAGCCGGAGCAGCGACGGCAGCATACCCGGCAGCAGCAGGTGGCACCCCCCGCCTCACCAATGAGAATGGCCCCCAGCACGGTCGCCGACCTGCCGTGGCCGTGCGCGCAGTGCACCAGGATGGGCCGCCCCGCCGCCCGCTGCTGCATGGCCCACTGCACGCCCTGGTCAATCTGCGCCGGCGTGGGCGCGTGCGTGTCCCACACCGCCAGGTTCAGGTAGGCGGGCGGGGCCAGCTGCAGCGGCAGCTCGCACGTCACGTCCAGCACAGCGGGGTGCACCTGCGGCGTGGCAGGGCAGCAATCGTCATCCATCTTGGGGCTGGGTTCCGCTGCGAACACCCTTGCAGCAGGCTGGTGGTGCATGAGGTCCACCTCTGGCGGCACCAGCCCATGGCCTTCCACCAGCGCACAGGCGCCCCCTGCAGCCGGCCAGCCGGCCAGCCAGGCAGGTGGCCGCGCACCGTGGGCACCAGATTCTGCTCGCTGGGCCAGGCGCCAATGTAGTGGTCTGGCGTGACCTGGTCAAAGCTGGGCTCGGAGGAGAAGCGGCGCTGCAGCGCCAGCTTGGCACGCAGTCCCACGTGGTACGGCCACAGCAGGGTGAAGCGCACGGGGTCGATGGTGCCGTCGGCGCGCTGCAGGGCAAGGAGCAGCCGGGATGCCGGGTGGGGGCGACGCGCTGGGCGAGGGCCTGTCTGCTGCTGCCGGCCACCACCCCTGGCGATACCCACCTTCCCCAGCAGGCCTGTGGTGCGCCCAGCCAGCGCCTCGCTCGCCGCCACGGCCACCACCAGGCCCGACCCGCTGACGTGCCACAAGACGCACGAGACGGGGAGCGGCAGCATGTGGCGCAGCGACCAGGCCGCCAGGCCAGGCAGAGCCGCTATGGCTGCCACTACCGTGCTGATGTGAACGCCCATGGGGGTGAAGGTGTGCAACACGGCGCTAGGCGGAATGCCCTGGCGCCTGGTTGCACCGGAGAGCGCGCTGCTGAGTGGCCAGTTGCTGCTGCCTGCCGGAGTGCAATGCCTCCTGGTTATGGAGGCGTGCAGGGGGCGGGCAAACCTCATCATGGCTGGCACACGTGGCCCTTGTCCTGTCGTGTCGATGAAGGTCTGAGAGGCCGGGCAATGCCCTCTAGTCATGCATGTCCTGATCAAGGAAACTGGCAGGCCCAGGGTGGGCCAGCTGCCCCAGAGTTTCGGAGCCTAATCACCCCGCACCAGGATGGACCCTCTGCGTAGGGAGATGCAGATCCGGACGAGGATAGAGTCGATGTGAGTGCGGGTGCAGCGGTGGGAGGGAGGCAGGCCCTGCCTCTGCCTTGCGCTGGCGGTCACCGCCGCTCCCGCCACCGCTCCGGCCGACGTGCACCGTCGCCGCCGCCCCTGCAGCTTCAACAAACGTGAGGAGAACTTCGCTTCCAGGCAGGAGTACCATGAATACCTGGAGGAGAGGGAGGACATCAGTAAGCGGTGCTGGGCTCGGCACCTGAGGCACTCCGGGCGCCCCGCGCCGGGTTCCAGTGGTTGGATGGAAGGGTTGGAGGCCCCTCATGCCCTCCCACCCCGCCTGCCCGCAGTCTTCAACCTGGTGGAGCGCATCGACGTCAAGGAGATGGAAAGCAGGGTGGAGGAGTACCGGAGGGTCAATGCAGACAGCATCGTACGCAACGAGGCGCTGAGGGCGGAGGAGCTGCGGCGGCGGGTGGCGGCGGCGGAGGAGGGCGCGGGGCAGGCGGGCGTGAGCGGCACGGCGGCGGCATTCCAGGAGGGGGCCGACGCGGAGCCGCACCAGGGGATGGAGTACACGGCGACGCTGCCAGAGGCGGCCGCGGCTGCTGTCCTTGGAACGTGCGTGTGCGAGGATGGGGCTGGGAGGCAGTGGCTGGGATGCCTCGTGAGTGGAAGCACCCATCAAGGCCACCAGGGCATTGGCATGGTTTGGCTGGGTGCCTCCGGCCCTTGCCCCCTCCATCGCGCCTCCCGCAGCTGCCGCCATTTGAGGCGCTGACCCGCCCGCCAGCCCCCCTGCGCCCGCTCCCTGCAGGGCGCCAGCCCCGCTGCCGCTGGCGGCCGCCGGCGCCGACGGCAACTTGCAGGCCGCGGCTGGGCAGCTGACGGGCGACGCCTGGCTGGCCATGGCCCTATCCAGCGGCTGGCGGCAGGACATGCCCAAGCGCAAAGCGCTGGAGCAGGCCTTTGGCTCGGTGCTCGTGTTCTGATCTGCTCCGCTGCCTGCTTGCCGTCCCTGCTTGCGCTCTGCACCACCCCGAGAATTGTTTATTCTGCTGCTCTGAACTGTTTCTGCTGCCCGTTCCGCCTTCGACGCCTGCTGCCCGTTCCTTTATCGATGCATAAATTTACTTCAGCGCTTCCGCATGCGCGCTTCCGCATGTGCGTGCATTGGACAGGGGCAGTGGCAACAGGGTTGCCCCCAGCCACCGGCGCCAGGTCCCACTTGCTCCATCTGTTGACACACACACATCCACCGCTGGCGCACCTTTTAGTGGAACCTGCTCATTTCGAGCAGGATGCTGGGGGAGAGCAGCAGTATTGCACGGAGCTGTCGTGGACGCTGGCGCGAGCGGTGCAAGTGCGGTGTGTGCGCGGGCAGGCGCCAGGGTGGCGGCGCGTGCTGTGCAGTGCCTCCTCGTCTCCCGCCCCGCCTGCGCTGGGCCACACCCCCGGGCGCACAGCATCTGGCAGCAGTTTAAATGGGGCTTATGAACGCCTCTGCGTCCAGCAGCGTGCAGTGTTGCCACATCGCAAGGCGGGGTGCTGCCGCCGTGTGCAGCAACAGCAAGGACTTGTCAGTTGCCAATCTGTGCGTGCCCCGCATGCCCCTGCTCTCTGGAGGCCACACCAGCCAAACGCGAGCGAGAGCTCCCTGCGCGTGGCTGTGGAGCAGCCTTCCAATCTGCCAAAAATGCTGGGAGGCGCCACCAACACGCCGACAATTACAAGCAACAACAAACACACGCATACATTCATTCAAGCTGACACAAGCATGCATCTCAAGCAGGGGCACACATGGCGTGCGCTGTCCCTGCTGCGGATAAGCACCGACTACTGGCCGCAGCATCCAGCCTGCGCTGGAATCGACTGCATGCCCAGCTCACTTGCGCCCCCTGCTCCCGCCGCTGCGCCCGCTGGAGCCACTGCTGCGGCTGCTGCTGGTGCTGCCGCTGCTGCGGCTGCTGGAGCCGCTGCTGGTGGAGGAGCCTGAGCCCGAGGAGGAGTGGCTGCGGCCAGAGGAGCTGGACGGGGTGGGGGAGCGGCGGCGGCGGCGGGGCGGCGAGGCCGAACGCCGGTGCGGAGGGCTGCGCCGCCGCTCGCGGCTGTCGTCGCGGCGGCGTGGCGGCGAGGGGCGGCGCCGCTCCCGGCTGTCGTCCCGCGCCCGGCGCGCGGGCGGGCTGGCGCCGCGACGTGGCGGTGGGCTGGCGCGGCGCGGAGGGCTGCGCCGCCGCTCGCGGCTGTCGTCCCGGCGGCGCGCAGGCGGGCTGTAGCGGCGTGCAGGCACCTCCCGGCGGCGCGGCGGCGAGGGGCTGCGCCGCCGCGCGGGGCTGCGCGCCCGGCGGGGCGGCGACGGGCTGCGACGGCGCGGGGGGCTGCGCGCGCGGCGCGGCGGCGAGGGGCTAGCCCTCCGCCCGCCGCCTGCCGCCTTGCTGCCGCCGCCATTCTCCTCGCGCCGCTGCCGGCCGTCGGCCGGCGCTGCTGCCGCTGCGGGGGGCGAGGGCGAGGGGGCACGCCGCGGCGGCGACGGCTGCGGGGGGGCAGCAGCCGGCGGCTTGGGCGGCGACGCTGCCTGGCGGCGCTTGCGCGGTGGGCTCCTGCTGCGGCTGCTGTCGCTGCCAGAGCTGCTGCTGCTGCTGCTGCTGCTGCTGCTGCTGCCAGAGGAGCGAGACGCGCTGCCCCTGCTCCTGCTCCTGCTCTTGCTGCGGGCCTTGGCGGCGGCAGCGGAGCGCGGCGGCGAGCGCGGCGGCGTGCGGCTCCTGCTACGCCCGCGCGCCTCGCCGCTCGCCTCCTCGCCGTCGCTGGCGCCGGCGGGCTGGTACCGCTCCGGCGCCTCCAGCTCCACCCTGTAGTACCCCTTACTGGGGTCCTCAAACCGCTTCTGCTCGGCCTGCGGCAGCGCAGCGCATGGGGCGGGCAGCACGGCACATGGAGAGCCAGCTGGCAGGGCCAAAAAGCCAGAACCGGCCGGCACCACGCGCTCGGCACGCTGCTCGGCCCAGACACCACGCTGCTCGGCCCCGAGACCAGCCGGCCACGTTAGGCCAGCAGGCTGCCGCCGGCTTTGGCGCCAGTCACTTGTGGCTCCTGCCCCCACTCCCCACACATCCACACAGCGCCTCCCGCCCCACCTTGCGCTCTTTCTCCAGCTTCTTGGCAGCTTTCTCCTTCTCCTTGGCAGCCTTCTCCTCGTCACGCTTGCGCTTTTTCTCCGCCTTCTCCCTGTCCTTCACCGCCTTCTTCGCCCTGCAACACACACACACACACACACGCAACACCCAGCATGACGAGGACGGCGGCGCAGGGAAGAGGCAGCGCTGCCGACGGCGGGGAGCGTTGCTCAGCGGGGCAGGAGCGGCAGCAGGGCACACTGGGCAGGGGCGGGGCGCTCGCCCCTGCTGCAACGCATCAGTAGCAGCAGCAGCCGGCGGCGGCGGCGGCCGCGCGGCCCACTCACGCCTTCTCCCGCTCCCGCCGCTCCTTCTCCCTCCGCTTCTTCTCCTTCTCCCGCTCCGCCACCTTGTCCAGCCGCTTCTGCTCCTGCAGCTCCCGGTTGAAGGCGTCGCCCTCGTGCACGTCCTCGGCAAACCCAAAGGCGTCCTTGAGGCGGGCCATCTGCTCCTGCTTGCGCCGCGCCACCTCGTGCGTCTCCTGGGCCAGCCTGCGGCGGCGGGCGGCGCACGCCGGCGGTCGCCGGCAGGCGCGAGGGGTCGCGGGGCGGGGTCGCGCAGGGGAGCCGGGCCGCCGGCAGAGCTGGCTGGCGTGCGGGCCAACACGGCTGGGGTGCGGGCGCACACGCCCCACTCACTTGTCCGTGGCCGCCGCTGCCTGCTGCTCCGACTTGGCCAGCAGCTCGACACGGTAAGCGGCCAGCTTCTCCTCAATCTCATCCTCCGGCAGCCTGCGGGAGGGCGGCGGGGGATGGGGCGGGTGAGGCCAGGCCAAGGGCAGAGGAGGGGAGGGCCAGCAGAAGTTGGCGAGGCAGCGGGCGCCCCCGCTCCGCAACACCCTGGGCCAAGCAGCCGCCCACTCACTCCTCGTCCTCCAGCTGCGCCCGCATCGTCTCCACCTCCAGCTCCACCTGGCGCTTGCGGTTGTGCTCCAGGATGTCGGCGTTGGGCTGCCTGTGCGCCGGGCCGCGGCCGTCGTCTCGGTCGCCGATGGTCACCTGCGGCGGGCCCCGCAGGTTGAACTTGTTGCCCTGCACGTACCCGCTGGTGCCCGAGCCGCGCACGCTCAACAGGCCGATGCCTGCAGGCAGGTTGGGAGGGAGGCGCAGGCAGGGAGGAGGGGTCGGTGCGGGGGTGCAGGGAGCCTGCTCCCTGCCGCTGCGTGGCGGGGAGAGGCGGGGACCTGGCGGGGCTTTGGGGCTGCTGCGACAGAGCCCGTGCGGCGCCCGGGGCACGCCTCATACACCCTGGCTCGCCGGGCCGCGCTGCAGAGGGCCCTGCGGGCTCTGGGCGCTCGCTCCCAGAGGATGCAGGCCTCCAGTGGGCGCCTCCGCGCGCCTGCGCACTAACTCACCGTTGTACATCGTGCCAGCACGTCACACACCGACGCCGGCGGCTGCAGGCAGCCTGGGGCTGCGGTGATGGGGGAGGCCCGAGCGCAGGGGACGGGACGGCGGCTTCCTGGCACCTGTGGACGGCTGCAGCGTGCCGCAAGAGGGCGAGAGAGTGAGGAGAGCCCAGCACGAGCACACAAAATGAAGGTCTGCCACCTCGGCCGCATGCAGAGCCCATCTGGCTTAGCCATCGCTTGTCAAGCTGCAGACGAATTGCCAGAGCATTCACCAGGCCGGCTGCTGCGCCAGGAGCAGCGAACACATCAGCCCGATCACCCCCGGCTCTGAAGGGAGGGCTGTGGGTTGGGCGCGATGGCAGACGATGATGGATTCGTAGGGGCCAAGCTAGAGCGGGACAGGGTGAGTGCCGGCACTTGCCCAGTGCCCAAGTTGAACAGCGGGCGCTCTGGCTGCTCCCCCGCGCCCCCTGCCATCTCCTCGAGTCTGGTGCCGCCTGAGCTCACTGTGGGCATCGCCCCACCTTCCTGCCGCGCGTGTGCAGCAGTCAGGCGACGCTGGCTTTGATGCAGCCGCCTACAGCTTCTTTGGGGATATGGCGGGCGAGGATGATGCGCTGGAGGGTCCCCTGGAGGTGAGGGGCAGGCCGCGCAGCCAGTGGGCAGCCCAGGCGGCAGCCGCGGCGGTCCGCCGCCACCCACCTCCCATGCTGCTGCTGCTGCTGCCGCCTGTAGGAGGGCCTGGAGGGTCCGCCCGAGGAGGAGGCGCCCGACCCCGACCTGCTGCTGGATGAGGATGAGGATCTGTCGTATGCCAGCATGTTTGCGGCGGCGCTGGAGAGCGACCGCGGCGGCATGGCCTCGGCGGCAGGCAACCAGCTGCACCCGCCTGCGGGGCAGCAGCAGGGCGAGCCCGCGGCTGCGCCAGCCGCCACCAGCGTGGCCGGCCCCAGCCCCGGCGGCTCGCTGTTCAGCGATTTCGACCTGTCCGCAGACCTGCGCCCCACGCCGCCCCGTGCCAAGCTGGGCAGCATCGCGCTGGGGGGGCTGCTGGCAGCCGGCGCGCCCGGCCCCGGCTCGCCCTTTGGCTCCGCGCCCGCCAGCAGCCCCTTTGGTGGCTTTGGCTCCACCCCAGGGATGCCCATGCCGCCGCCGCAGCCGCGGCCCTCGCCGCTGTCTGACCCAGCTGTCATGCACATGGGCCCGCCGCCGCCACCACACATGGCACCCTCGCTTCCCGCTGGCGGCCTGGGAGGCCCTCTAGGCCCGGTGAGGCGCCGCCTGCTGCCTGCTGGCGTGCCGGACCAGTGCCTGGCGGCCCGCCTGCTGCGGTGCCAGTCATTGCACGCTGCCAGCCTGCCGCTAGCCAGCAGCGCGCCCAGGTGCGCCGTGCTGCCAGGCCTGCTGAGGCACGCTCTCCCCGCTGCGTCCCTGCTGCAGCGTGCCATGACGGCGCAGGAGCTGGAGGCACAGCTGCTGGGCGGCGGAGGCGGCGCGGGCCAGCAGCAGCAGCAGATAGGGGGCCCGCCCATGCAGCAGCCGCCGCCGCCTCAGCCGCACTATGGCGCCATGGGCATGCCGCCTCCCCAGCACAACGGCTACCCGCCCATGCAGCATCAGATGCAGATGCAGGGCCCGCCGTCTGGCTACGGCATGCCTCCAGGCGGCCCTGCGGGGCCCATGCATCTGCCGCCGGGCTACGGCCTGGAGCCGTACCCAGCGCCCATGCAGGGGCCGCCGCCGCCGCCCCACTTCAGCCCCGGCGCGGCCTTCCCCCCCATGTCGGGCCCCGAGCGGCCGCCGCCGCGCCCCATCCCCATGCAGCACCCGGGCATGTTTGGGGGGCCGCCGGGTGACATGCAGGCTGCGCCGCCGCCAGGCTACGGCCCGCCCCCTCCCGGCATGCAGCAGCAGCAGATGGGCGGCCCGACACGCGGGCCGGGCCCAGGCTTCGCGCCGCACATGCGGCCGGGGCCGCCGGGCATGATACCGCCCCACATGCGGCCGGGGCCGCCCGGACCCTGGGCGCAGCGCCCGCCGCCGGACATGCCGCCGCCGGGCCAGCCGCAGCCGCAGCAGCGGCACCCGCAGCACGCCACGCTGGCGCAACGCCTGCGGGCGCTCAACCTGGCAGACAGGTGGGGCTGGCAGCTGAGCGCATGCCGGTCGTTCAGGGCAAAGCACCACACGCATCGGCACTTGGCGGCAGGCATGCGGGGCGCGATGCCCCCAAGCCTCCTGCCGCGGCTGGCGTCACCCACCCCTCTTCCTGGCCCTCCTTGGCCTGCCCCCCTCACCGCCCCTCTGCCCGCCTGCCCCGCTGCCCGCAGGCACGAGGAGGTGCGTCGGCCCATGCTGCGCAGGCGGTACCAATCGCGGTACATGGACCACGAGGAGATCGAGCACATACTGGCCATACAGGTGGGGGTGGGCGGGTGCAGAGGTGCATTGGGGGCACGAGGTGCTGTAGGGGTGATGCTGGAAACTCATGCCACTGCCAGCAAGGCGCGTGTCCCCAGCCCATGCCTTCCCTCTGCGCCTGCGCCCTTTCCCACCCCGCAGTGGCGCGCCCTGCACCAGACCACCCCCTACCTGGAGGACTACTACTACCAGGCCTTCCTGTACAAGTACTACGCCAAGAGGAACAGGAGGAGCTTCGCGCCAGAGTCGGGTGGGTGCGCGGGGTGGTGGTGGGGGTGCCGCGTGTGGGCTGTCAACTGTGTGTGTGTGTGTGTGTGTGCAGAGGTGGGGGCCAGTGGTGTGTGGTGTGGTGTGGTGTGGTGTGATGCGTGTGGGAGATGGGGTGGGGCCTTGCTGGGAGAGGCGAGCAGCCGCTGTGCCACGCGCGGCTCGGCACCAGGCCGCCTCCACACACACACTCCACACACCCCTACAGACACTGCCCCCACACGATACGGTCCCTGCCCCCCCGCAGTGCGCGAGCTGGCCCCCACCGAGAAGACTGCCGGCGACGAGGTGGCGTTTGTGCGGGTGGAGGGCCTGGGCCGCCTGCCCTTCTCCAACATCCGCCGCCCGCGCCCGCTCATGGACATTGCGCCCGGCCAGCCGCGGGGGGGCACGGGCAGCGAGGGCGAGGGCGAGGAAGGCAGGGGCGAGGGCGAGGGCGGCGAGGGCGAGGGCAGCGCGCGGCCTCTGGAGCAGGAGCCCATGCTGGCTGCCCGCATCATGATTGAGGACTGCATGTGCCTCATCCTGGACGTGCTGGACATCGACCAAATCTTTGTGGCGGCAGCGGGAGGTGGGCGGCCGCCGCGGGCTGGTGGGCGGGGCTGGCTGACCAGCTGGCTGGCTTGGCGTGTGTGGCTGGCAGGGCGCGGGGGGCGGCAGAGGCAGCGGGAGGGGAGGCGCTGTGAGGGCACAGAGGTGGAGCCGCCGGCGAGCACCGGGCTGCTCCCTACCCCCTGCCGCCAAGCAGCCCACCCCTTTTGCTTGTTCACGTGTCCCCTCGCTGCCTCCCCTCGCCCCCCCAACCCCCCTTCCCTCAGGCCCCGTGGAGGTCGAGGGCGCGCTGCGCACGCGGCGCTCGCTTTTGCTGGACGGCCTGGCTGCCTCGCTGCGCCTGCCCGAGGCGGCGGTGGTGGCGCCGCCCACGCCCGGCGCCGGCGCCGGCGCCGGCGAGATGGGCGACGGCGTCTTCCTGCGCCTCATGGCCCTCACAAAGGGCAAGAAGCTGCTGGCCAGGGCGCTGCGGGTGGTGTACCCTGCGCCAGAGGCGGTGCAGCCGCGCCAGCCGCGCTCCGCGCTCGTGGACGGCCAGCTGGCGGGCGGCGCGCCGCCCGCGCCGCACCCGCCCAACCTGCGCGTCGTGTGGGCCGCGCTGCGCAGCCTGCGCTTCCTGTTCTCGGGCCGCCCCGGCGGCGCCGAGGACGTGGCGGCCTGCTCGGCGGCGGCGGCGGCGGCGGCCGAGGTGCTGCGCCGCCTGCACTCGCCCCGCGCCGTGGCCGACTGCCTGGCGGCGGCGGTGGGCGGAGACCTGGACGGCGCGCCGCTGCTGGCCAGCCAGCCGGACGCGGTGCTGATGCCGCTGTTCGCGCCAGGTGCGGGGGGGCTGGGGGCACGCAGTTTTAGCGTGGGGCTGGGGCGGGGCGGGGCAGGGGCGTGCAGTGCTGCCCTCGGCATGCGGGGTAGGGCAGGGGCAGTGCTGCGCTGCCTGCCCTCGGCACACACGTGTGCGCACACGGCGGCCCCCGCACCTCACCCCACCTCCTCCCTGACCCCTCCCGCCGCCTGCCTGCCTGCCTGCCTGCCACCGCTGGTGCAGGCGCCACGGCGCACGACACGCAGCGCCCCTGGCTGGCAGACGTCCTGACCGCGCTGCTGCAGCGCGGCGCGGAGCTCGACCTCCTGCCCGGCGCGGCGGCGCCCGAGCGCGAGGCCGCGGCGGCCGCCGCCTGGCGCCACCACCTGCCGGCGCTGTACTCGCTGGTGGAGCGGCACGTGGGGGCGCTGCATGAGGCCTTCCAGGCCGGGGTGGCCATGGGGGAGCAGGAGGCGGCGGCGGAGGTCAAGGCGCTCATGCCCATCAGCCTGGTGCGCGTGCTGCTGCCGCACTGCACCGCGCAGCAGGCCGGCGTGCTGCGCAGGCAGCTACTAGACCTGGGCGTGTGAGGCGGCGGGCGGCGGCGGCGCCGGGGATGCTCGCCAGATAGGAGGCGCCTCTGCACCCCGGCACGCCCGCGCGCGCACGCCTGGCGGGCGGCCCAGTTTTTGAGTGGCCCAGCCCAGCCTGCCGCGTGCCCCCGTTGGAAGTGAGCTCGTGGCCGACCGCTGCGCTGTCGCTGAGCCTCTCTTCCCCACAGCCAGCAGCAGCTCATGAGTGGCCTGCTTCCGTGCTGCCCCTCGCGACGTTGTAATGCGCATTGCACTAGCGGCCGGGCAGCTGCCGGGATGGTGGGCACGTTTGTGGAGCAGAGAGGAACGAGGCAAATGGGAGCGGGTCAAGGCTGCTAGGCACGCTGCGCCCTGCGCCGCCGCGGCTTGCCTGGCTCCTCCTCCTCACGCTCCTCCCCAGCAGCCTGCGGCTGCGGCTCGGGCTGCTGCTCCGCCGGCGAGGGCGCCGACTGCGGCACACCGCTAGCTGCACCGCTGCTTCGGAAGCGCGCCCTTTCCGCCGCATGCTCCTCCGCCATTTCACTGATGTCCGACTGGTTTGCGGCCATGGCCATCTTTCGCATGGACAGCACCCACAGCACCATCACGCCCAGCCCCACCTGCAACGGCAGAGGCGGCAGGTCGTGGTGCACGGCGGCGGCGGCGGCGGCGGCGGCGGCGGCGGGTGGTGCACGCGTCGCTGCATCACGCCACCAGCCAGCGCATCACCTTGGGCGGCAAGTATTTCTGAAGCCAGAACAGGCCAAAGCCAACGAAGAATAGCGACAGAAAGGACAGCAGCCTGTTAGCCATTGTGGAGACCCGCCACCAATCAAACGCGACAATCGAAGGCACAGGGTGAAGAACGAGAGCACAACTTTCAGAGTCCGGGTGCACATGGGGCGCTGCCACGGCCACCGGGCGCCGCCTGCACATGTGCCAGCCAACCCAAGCGCCGCCCCTCTGCTCTGAATTGAACTCCGCATTTTCCGGTGCACCACAGGCTGCCCGCCCACAACCAGCAAGGCGACGCCTGGCAGGCGGTGGGCACGACTTGGGGGCCAGCCCGGCCCAGCTTGCGCCAGCTCTGGCTAGCCAGTGCTGAGCTGTTAGTAACAATGCCGCGACACTCCCAATTCTCTCCCAGTCAGGTCAGCGGCTGAACGGCCTGCCCAGCTCCCTGTTGATGCCCCGCCGCATCTCCTCGTACGTGGCATACCCTGCACAGGAAGCATGGACGGCGAACAATGGACATCAGCATCAGCTCCAGCCACTCGCCTGCCTCCACCCGCCGGCAGCTGCCTGGCGTGCCGAGCCCTGCGGCCAGGCCCCTGGTGCCCCCACCTGTGACGGGAAGCATGGTGTCGTCCCACCGCTCCTGGATGGCCTGCCGCAGCTCCGGGGTCAGCTCCTCCTTGTTGCGCCCGACCCGCCCCTCCCGCACCTTGCCCGTGCGCAGGCCCGCCTCCCGGGGCCGCCCACAGGCCTCGTTGCGCGCCAGCTTCAGCATGTGCTGCACCAGGCACGGGGGCGGGGCGCCAGCTGAGGCCACACACCTAGCAGCAGCGGCAGCGGAAGCAGCGGAAGCAGCAGGCGTAGCGAGCAAGGCATGAGTGGGCACATCGTGGAGGCTGCATGGCGCGGCTCCACACCCCACCTCGTCATACCTGCACCAAGCGGGCAGCAGGGGGCAGGCATGTGAGCGGCACGGCACGCCGGCCCAGCGCCCGTGGGCTTGGCTTGCAAGGCAGCCTGCAGTGCGGTGCTGTGACCACCGGCGGCCACCCACTTCTCCGGGAACCGCTTCATCCAGCCGATGGTGGACCGCTCCACCGCCAGCGCCTGCAGGGCGGGGTCGTGCTGGCCGATGCCCAGGAACTCGGCAATCAGGGACACTGCGGCGGGCAGGTCCTCTTGCAAATCCTCGTAGTGAAGCCACAGCAGGTTGGGGTCCGCCCTGCAGCCAGGTGGTGGCGAAGAGATGGGTGGGGGCCAGCGCGGGAGGCGCAGGGCCTGATGCATGGAGGCATGCCTGCCCACGAGCAGGGGAGGTGGGCAGGCGGCATGGATGTGCGGGCTGGGCTTGAGGGCTGGCTGGCCTGCCTGGCGGCGCCTCCAGGGACCCACCTGTGGGGGTACCAGGAAGCCATGTTGTTCCACATGCCGGCATTAAAGAGCGGGGAGGGCGGGTCGCCGCGGCGCAGCCAGAAGTGCACCAGGAAGTCGTGCATGCTGATGGCGCCCGCGTCAAAGATCCAGCCCTGCGGGGGGGGGCGGGGTGGTGCGGCAGCCGCGGCGCGGTCGGCAGCGCCAGCTGGCGGCAGGCTGGGACGCATGTGCAGCGCCGTGCCGCGCTGTGCTGTGCCATGCTGTGCTGCGCCAGGCCGCGCTCGCCTGCAGGAAGTAGAAGAAGGAGGGCCCTGCATCCAGCGGGTCACGAGTGATGAACAGGTACTTGCCGGCCCCCTTGGGGCAGTGGGGCCGCCAAAAGTGGGTCTTGTAGACGCGTGGCCGCCAGCCATCCTGTGGGAGGCGCGAGCGGGGCCTGGGCAGCTGTGCAGGCCGCCCGATGGCCAGGGTGGCAGGAGAAGACAGCTGGCAGGCACAGCAGCCTGGGGGCATGTCTGACAATGAAACACATCCCACCTGCACAGTCATATCCTTCAATCCATAGTCCCAGGCTGCAGCGTTCGTGCCCACACAAGGGCAGGGTGGGGCAAGGGCAGGGCAGCGGTGGGTAATGCACAACAGCATGGGAAACAACGCAGTAACAGCCATGGAGCAGGGCCCAGCAAGCAGGGCAGCCTCACCCATTTCTATGCAGGGAATCACCAGGTTAATCTCGTCGTAGCTCATGTCGCCCCCAGACCGCAGCATGTGCACGATCTGGCACAGCCACGTGGTGCCGCACCTGGTGGCAGCCAGCGGGTGGGCAGTTGTTTGGCACAGCGCACGCAGCAGCGGTCCCAGGCTCACGCCTGGCGCCCGTGCCCACTCACTTTGGCGGCGACACAATCATGATATCGTCCTGGGTGACCCGCAGGTTGGCGCCCGCCATCCGGCCTGCACCCCAGCCAGCCAGCCAGCCAGCAGCCACTGGAGCTGCTGGGACACGGCGTTCCGCGCTGCGCCGGAAGTGGTGCTGGCACGCATCCCCAAGCTACTGCCTCACCCTCGGCAGTCTCCAGGTTGCGATTGGCCTCCTCCATCTTCTGCACCGTCCTGACCACATCCTCCCGGTCGCTGGCAGACAGGTCGGCTGGCATCGTGAACTGCCGCTCGCCGCCCGCCACCGCTACGGCCCAACCACACGCACAGCGGCGCCTGCTCGGTCGCAAGCGATCTGATCGATCGCACTGCAGGACAAAGGCTGCGCCACAGTGTGCAGGGCGCCCAGGGGTGGCACTGCTGGTGCTCGACTGGTGGGGCCGCGGCCCGCCTACCAACACCGCCGCTCTGCGCCAATTGGGCAAATGCAATGTGTCGATGGCTTGGAGAGCGCGCTCGATGGGTAATGGAGAAAGTCTGAGCATTGACAAGTCAGCAGGCGTTCATTACGCAGAGAAACGGCCCATGAGCAGCCTCCCATTGCCTTTACGTCTTGTTATGATTCATACATAGAGAGATGAATCAGGACGAGCTCGAGGCTTTCGCAAATGAGCACCACATTCCCAGCCTCACCCAAGTGAGCTCCTCCCGCATATCTGCATGGCGCTAGCATACAGTGCAGTGGCCGATGCGGCGCCTCCCAGCCCCCAGGAGGGAAGGAGGGTGGGCCGCCGCCTCTGCCGCTCGCCGCTGGAAGTGTGGAGCCAGCGGCGGACGTCTCAACGCCGCTCCTGGCCTTGCCGTTGCACAGTGGTGCAGCCATTTGCCCCTGCCACACCGACCCTCGCTCCCCACCTGACCGGGCGTCGTCCCTGCCTTGCGCCGCCACCCTCCGCAGCTGTGGGCGGTGGAGCTGGAGGAGGCGCCCGTGTGCATGGGCCTGAGCCCCAAGGGCCAGCTGCTGGCTGTGGGCACAGTAGATGACGCCATCCCAGTGCTGGATGTGGCCAGCGGCAAGGTGGCCCACACGCTGGCGGGGCACGACGGCGGCACCAACGGCCTGGCATTCCTGTCTGGCAACAGCCTGGCGAGCGTGGGGGAGGACGGGAGCGCGCGCGTGTGGAATGTGGCGCGCGCGGCCTGCCTGCACCAGCTGCCCGTGGATGCAGATGGGGCAGACAGGTGGGCGGGAGGGTGTGGGGCCCCGGCCTGCGGGTGCGCCGCGTGTCGGCTGAGCGGCGGCCAGCCAGGCGCCGGCCTGCCGTGCCTTGCCAGCGCTGCCAGCCGCGGTCAGGCAAGAAGGGGTGTGGCGGCTGCAGGATGGGGGTGCGGGCAGGGGTCGGCAGTGGTGCACCACCTGCACCTAACGCCACACTGGTCCCCGGCTGCTGTGCGGTGCAGGACGGGCAGCGGGCACAGCGTTGGCCACCTCACCGGCGCCCCCGGTGCCAAGTCCTTTGCCTGCTCCGCCGGCAGGCTGGTCACCATCTTCACTCTGGGCGCCTCCCCGCAGCAGCAGCCCTCCCGCCGCGTGCTGGGGCCGCTGGACAGCACGGTGGGCGGGGCTGGGAGGGAGCAGGGCGAGCGGCGGCACGCTGCAGGCTCGCTCGGGCGTATGCTCTGCCTGGGCCGCACCTTCGCCTACGTCCATGGGCAGGGCTGTGCCCGCCCTGCCTGCCACACTGCCTGCCAAGCCCGCACATGGTTGACCGCCGCCCGGTCGCAGGTTGAGAGCCTGCGGTTTGACCGCCGCGGCAACCTGCTGGCCACCTACAACGGCGGCGTCAGCTACTGGAACTTTGAGCGGAGGGAGGAGGACAAGCAGGAGCTGGGGCTGCCGCACTCGGGGGCCTGCCTGTGTGGCGACGTCACGCCCGGTGCGCCGCGGGCAGCCCCGCCCGCGCCCGCTGCCGCTGGTGTGTTGCCTGCGTGGGGCGCGTGGGCAGGCCGACCGGGCCAAGCCAGGTGGGCCGCTGTGCTGCTCTTGTGAGGGCACAGTTGTGCTGCCTGCCTGCCGACCCGCCGACCTGCTGCCTGCCCCACCGCTCCCTCCAGGCCTGGACTACATTGTTGCTGGCTGCCACGACAGCACGGTGCACATCTACCACTTCAGGCAGCAGCGCAAGTCGGGGGTGGAGCTGCAGGTGGGGGTGGGGCCGGAGTGGGAGTGTGCTTGATGGTGGGGTGAGCTATTGAGGTGTGCGCTTGTGGGTGTGCGTGTGGGTGTCGGAGGCAAGGCGGGCTTTGCCCAGGGCGCATACTTCGCTGGGTGCTTCCTGCCCGCACCATACACAACAAGCAACACACACACACACACACACACGCACACACACGCACACACACGCACACACACGCGCGCGTGCAACACACGCAACACGTGCATCACACGTGGGCGCAGGAGATGACGTGCGGCGGGTATGATGGCAAGGTGACGGCGGTGGACTTCAACCCAAAGGGAGACCGCATGGCATCGGCGGGTGAGCCGCGCTGGGCAGCGCACAGCACAGCACAACGCAGCGCAGCAGTGCTGCTGGCTGGAGGGCAAGGCCCTGGCAGCTGTGCTGTATGGGATGCGAGGGCGGGGGTGGGCGGGATGGTGGTGGCGGCGTCGGGGCATCCCGTATCTGCCTGCACTGCCGGCCAACCTGCCGCCTGCCTGCCTGCCTGCCAGGCGGCGACAAGAACACGGTGTGGGACTTCAGCGGCAGCCCCACCGGCACCCTGCCCACGCTCACCGTGGGACACCACTCCTCCATCACCTGCCAGGCAAGGGAGACCAGCTGCCCGCCCGCCAGTGCAGTATCCCAACCCGCCTGTGCAGTATCCACCACACCCAGCAGGCGGGGCCCTGCAGCCCTCAGCCAATCTCCTGCCCGCGTCCGTCACCCACGCTCGCCCTCCACACGCCTCCCGCTGCCTGCTGCTGCCCGCAGGCGTGGCAGCCCGACGGCGAGGGCTGGCTGGCGACCGCGGGCAAGGATGGGCGCCTGCTGGTGTATGACGTTGAGGCCAAGCTGCCCATGAGGAAAGGCATGCCCTTCATCTGCCAGCCGGGCGCGCTGGGCCTCACAGACGGTGCGTGCCGGACACGGTCCAGGCTGCGGCAGAGAGGCGGGGGGGAGGCGGGAGGGAGGCCGCAGGGGCCAGGGATCCCCGCCGCTGCTCTCAGCCACCATTCCGCCACCCAGTGTGTTCAAGCCCAATGCTGCTGGGCGCCAAACGCTGCTGCTGCCGGTGGCGGTCGCCGTGCAGGTGATGAGGTGACGGCGCTGGTGTTTGCGCGGGACGGTATCCTGTACACCGGCCACATCAGCGGCATGGTGCGACGGTGGGAGCTGCCGCTGGCGGGCAGCAGCGAGGACGGCGACGAGGCGCCGCAGCTGCAGGCGGCGGCAGCGGCACAGCAGCAGCAGCCCAGCCAGGCAACAGCAGCGGAGACGGAACGGCCGTGAGCAGAGCAAGAAGAGCGCCGCTGATGCAGTTTGTACTGCATTGCTTATGATGTGCTTGCGCTTGCTTCCTGCCTTTTGCTTGCCCGCCTTGTGAGGTGTGGGGTTGAGGTTTCAGTGTGCAGCTGGCTGCTGCCCAAGGGAAGAATCGCCTGAAGCAGCGCTTGTGGGGCAGGGACCCAAGCCTGCCTTGACACTGGCCCCGGACTGAAGCGGATGTGAGCATGGTTCCCTTACACAGCAGCAAGGGTGGGCAGCGCCAGCTCACTCCTCCCCCTGCGGCCGCTTCAGCTTGGGCAGCTTGCGAGGGCGGGTCTGGTGGGTGAAGGTCTGTACTGGCTTGCCCACCAGCTCCGCCTGCGAGGGCTGCCGCAGCTTGCTGAGGTCGGGTATGCCCAGCGTGGATTTCACGAGCGGCACCTTGAGCAGCGAGGTCTGGAGCAGCGAGAAGACGTTGCTGGCTGCACGCAGCGGCGGCAGGGGGCGAGGGAGGCAGAGGTGAGGCAGGGCAGGGCAGGGCAGGGCAAGGTGGGCACGTCGGCAGTTGCTTGCTGGGCCCAACAAGCCGCGATACACAGCAAAGCACTCACGTGGGCGTGCCTTGCCTCAAAGCACACCCCGCAGCCCAACAGACAGCAAGGCGCGGGGCATGGGGCAGGGTAAGCGCAGGACCAAGCGCAAGACCAAGCGCACGGGCAGGGCAAAGGAGGGGGCACCCACCCGACCAGTACATGAAGACGGATGCAGGGAGGGCTGTGGAGGCGAGCGGTATGACCAGCGCCACCACCCGCATCACATTCTTCAGCTTCTTCTGCATCTCGGGCGGCTGCGGGGGCAGCGCAGCGGGAGCGGCGCGAGGCGAGGGAGGCAGGGGTGGATGAGCAGCGCGGCGGGGGAGTCGGTCGGCGCCGGCTGCAGCGGCGAGCGTGCCGGTGGCACCCGCCAGCTGTACGGGCAGCGGGGCGAGGGGCCCCGCGATGCCGCGCGACGCCACGCCTGCCCGCCCACCTGCCCCTGCATGCCGTCTGCCGCGCCCAGCTCGATTGTGAGGAGGAAGGAGAGGCCGGCCAGGGCGGGCAGCATGTAGGTGGGGTCTGCCACCGTGAGGTCTGTGAACCACAGCGCCCCGCCCTCGGTCAGCGACGGCACCTGCGAGGCAGCCAGGCGGCGGCCGCATCGGTGGCAATGGCGGCAGGGGGTGGGCGGCAGCAGGGAGCACACCGCAGGCAGGGTGTTCCTGCCCGCCCGCGGGCTCGCAGGCGCGGAGGCCGCGCCCCACCTTGTGCGCCGCAAAGCCGCGCAGGGCTGAGAAGAAGCCGATGAAGATGGGGGCCTGCACCAGCATGCCGGCCATGGACTTGAAGGGGTTGCAGTTGTACTTCTTCCACACAGCCATCACGTGCTGCTGGTGCTCCAGCTGCGGGCCGGGGGTGGGGGCAGGGAGGGAGGGGCGGAGAGCACGTCGAGTGAGGCACAGAGGGGCGGGGGGGCGAGGGGCAACGGGAGGCAGCCGGGCGCAGCCAGCGAGGGATCGAGAGAGGTGAGGGCGTGGGCAGCGTGGTGGGACCCCCCATTTGCCAGCACCGCCCATCGCCTGGCCGCCTGCACGGCCGCACCCCTGCCGCTGCATCCCACGAGGCAGCGGCGGCGCCTCCCCATGCGCATGCCCACGCCGCCACGCACCGCCGCCTCCATGTTCCCCTTGGCCTGCTCCTCCTTGACATGGTTCATCAGCACCTCCATCTCGGGCCGAGCCTGCGGCAGAGGAGGGACAGCGGCGCGCGCACGCGGTAGGCGCGACAGCAGCCGAGGCGGAGCGCGGGCTGGCGCTGCTCGGCACAGCGCGGGCCTGCGCATGCTGCCGCGCGCTGCCCACCCCGCCATGCACACGCTGACTAACTCACCAACACACACGGCCAGCCAGGCAGCCAGCGACCGGCGGCATGCGGTAAACCCACCAGGGACATGCGGTACGTGTTCTTGATCTGCATGATCATGATGGGCAGCGTGGCCAGCCGCATGGCGCAGGTGGCCACCATGATGGACTGCCACCACTCCAGCCCCAGTGCGCCGTGAAGCCCCGTCAGCAGGCCCTGGATCAAGCGGGTGGGCAGCCAGGAGTCCTCGCGGGCCGCCGCCAGCGCATCCTCCTCTGCCCCCGCCGCGGCAGCCACAATGGCGCTGGCGGTGAAGAGGTCGGCCACGCCAGGCGTGGCCGACGCGGCCGCGGCCCAGCCGCCGCCCGCTGCGCTGTCTGCTGCCGCCATGCCGGCGCTGCTGCTGGCGGCGTCGAGGCCCGCTTGCGCGACGTCGTTGCCAAAGTCCTCCCCCGCTGCTGCCAGGGAGTCGGGGGGCTGCTGCTCTGCTGCCGCCTGCTGCTTGCCGCCGCCGCCGGGCCGGAGGCTCAGGTGCCGCATCGACGTGTGGCTGCCATGCTGCCAGCTCCCACCACCCTGCCCGCTGCTGCTGCCCCCGCTGTCGCCGCAGTGCTGCCAGCGGTCGAGGAGCTGCAGGGCTGCTGCAGACTGCGGTGCCCAGGCGCCGCCGCCAGCCTCTGCCGCCGTCGCCGACGCCGCGGCCCCCATCCGCGACAGCAGGGAGGCGCTGCGTCTTAGCAGCATGGCCTACGGGTATCTGTGTGGAGGTGATGAGACCGCAGGCAGCCGGCCTAGTGCAAACCCCTTGGTTTAGCACACCCGGCGGCAATCACTCGCGGCGTTGGCGCGTCGCTGAACACGGACAGGCTTGATATGCAGCGTGGAATTGCGCTGGCCAGCTGAATTGCAAACAAGGGTTGGCATTCGCCTCCCCCGCTGTGACTGGACCCAGGCCGCCCCTCCATGCAGGGCCCTGAAGACGCGAAACAGGCCCCGCCAGGTCCTTTCTCTTGTGGCCTGACGCCAGTTCAGGTAAACGCCGCCGGCAGGGAGCTGCGAGCAGCATGCAAGCGATGGGCATGGGGACAGCATGGGAAGGAGGGCAGGGCCACCGCGCCTGGTGGTGTTGCTGGCGATGTGGAGGAGCCAGCAGCGGGTTCAGCCGTGCGCAGCGGGGATGGGCCCCGCCCCAACCCCGCCAATCACGCAGCATGGGCGCCCGGGCAGCGCTGCAGCCCCGCGCACAGCCCTGCGCGGCGTGATGGAGCCAGCCGAGCGGCTGGCCGAGCGCCGGGGAGCGTGCGGCTCGCTCGCCAGCCGGGCGCTCGCCGGCAGCACGGCGGCCGTTGCTGGCCTGCCGTGGCGAGCCTGTGCCTAACATGCATTGCTGTGCCCCCGTGCGCGGTGCTGCGGCTGCAGGTTGACAGCGAAGCGGCGCCATGGCGACCAAGCGCAAGGGCGGCGTGGGCGGCAACAAGTTCCGCATGACGCTCGGCCTGCCGGTGGCCGCCACCATGAACTGCGCAGACAACAGCGGCGCCAAGAACCTGTACGTCATCTCCGTGCACGGCTGGGGCTCCCGCCTCAACCGCCTGCCCGCAGCCGCGCCCGGCGACATGGTCATGGCGACGGTGAAGAAGGGGAAGCCAGACTTGCGCAAGAAGGGTGGGTGGCGGGTGCTGCTGGGCGGGACATTCTGCTGCTGCTGCTGCCTGTGTCGCCGCCCCCACACGCTGCATGCTGCGGCGAGGACCAGGGGGTCGGTGTGGGGTGCCTCACAAGCAGGGCAGGAGGCTGCTGCGTTTTGTCCGGGTGGACGAACAATGGGCTAGCGCCGCGGCTGTTGCTGCGGCGGCCGCACTGCGTGTGCTCGTCAGCAGCTGGTGGGCAGATGAATACCCAGCAGCCCTGCAGCGGGAAGAATGCAGCGGCATTGCCAGCAGCAGCCCTGCTGGGAGGCTGGTCAGGCAGGGGACAAGCCGGCGTCAGCGCTGTGGCGTGACGCGGGCTCCCAAGCCGGGCCGCATCTCGCCTCTGCTGGGACCACAGCAAGCCGGGCCAGCATTCCTTGCAGCTGGCAGCAGGCGCCTGCCTGCAGCACGGCAGCAGGTGGCACAGTCTTGCAGCTGTACAGCGCACCACACCGCACCGCACGCTGCGCACGACGTGCCTACGCCGCCCGCGCTCACCCTGCCTGCCCCTTCCACCCCTCGCCCGTCTGCCCTGCAGTGATGCCCGCGATTGTGGTGCGGCAGCGCAAGGCGTTCCGGCGGAAGGACGGCACCTTCATCTACTTTGAGGACAACGCGGGGGTGATTGTGAACACCAAGGGAGAGATGAAGGGTGAGCGGGCAGCCGCTGACGTGCACGCGGTGGTTTGTTTTGCGGCCCGGCTCGCAGGCCCGGCTGGCACCTGCCCTGATGGACCAGCCGCCAGCCACCTCTGCACGCCCTCAGCCATGCCTCCCGCCTCCCCTCCCGCCCTGCAGGCTCCGCCATCACCGGCCCCGTGTGCAAGGAGTGCGCCGACCTGTGGCCGCGCGTGGCAGCAGCAGCAAACACGATCGTCTGAGCGCCCGCCTGCCGAGGCGGCAGGCGCGGCTGGCGAGGCGCGGAGCGGGGCCTGCAGCCACACACACACCCTCTCCGCACCAAGCAGCGTGTAATGCACCATTTGCCAGGAGGCAGGATTCGAGGGATTGGAAGGGTTGGTGGCAGCCGGCCTCAGTTGGGCATGGAAACGCTCCTTGGCAGTTAGGGTGCTAGGCTTGGGTTGGAGCCTAGCCCAACCTGGCCAGTCTTGCCAACCATCAGGGTGCTGCTGCCATTTTACACAGAGAGGGGAGCGCACACAGGAGTGGGGCGCTGGCAGGGCGCCATAGCGGCGCATCATGCGTGCCTGGCGGTGCGTGTGCATGTAGCGCAACACAGCGGGATGGAGAGTACATTGCAGGGGTTGGTACAGCATGCATGCAGCATGCGGGGTGCGGGCAGGAGGGACACAGGAGATGGGCAGGGCGCGGCACCCGGCAAAACCCATCCGACGCTCGCAGCAGCCAGGGGACAACAATCACAGGCGCCCAGGCCTCCTCACGTGGCCACAATGCGCGGCCGCCGCTTCTTGTGCTCAGCCTCCTCTGCCTGCTGCTGCTGCTGCTGCTGCTGCTGCTCCTCGGGCTCGGGCTCCGCCCGCGCCGCTGCGACCGAGGGCGCCTCTGGCGCCCCCACCCCGGGCCCGCCCTCCCCGTCTTGCAGCTGCTTGGCCGCCAGTGCCAGGTCGCCTGCCGGCGTGTCTGTGCTGGGCGGCGGCGCGCGCACCTCTGCCTCCTCTGCACCCTCGCCCTGCAGGTGCGGGCAGGGCACACCAGCCACCGATCAGGGCTGGGCAGGGACCTGGCTATGCACCGCCTCTCAAGCTCAAGCAGCCATCTGTGTTGGTGCAGTGGTCTGCGTTGGTGCAGGAAGGCGGCGCACGCAGGCTGGCGGCGCGCGGCGGGCGTGCGGGCCGCTCACCGAGGCAGCGCCGCCGCCGCCCGCGCCGCCCTTGAACCCGGCCTTGAGCTTGTCGATGTTGCGCAGCTCCGCGGAGCGGTAGGGTCGCGCACCCAGCAGCGCCTCCAGCTCCTCTGCAGGTGTGTGTGTGTGTGTGTGTGTGCGCGCGCTCGTGTGCGTGTGTGTGTGTGCGTGTGAGTGTGTGCGTGTGGTGAGAGGTGGGAGGGGCAGGTGCACGGTGGCCGGCAGCAAGCAGCCGCGTTGCCCCCCAGGCTCCCAGGACCCCCTCCCCACCCATACCGCCTCACCCGTCCCCAGCACCTCCTTCTTCAGCAGCGCCTGCGCCATGCCCTCCACCAGGTGCTTCTTCTCCTCCAGCAGCTGCAGGGGGCGCGGCATGCGGGCCAGCGAGCCGTGGCCAGGCGGGCCGAGCGGGGCGGGGAGCGCAGCGCAGCGCAGCGCAGCGCAAGGCAAGGCGCGACGAGGAGGGGCTGCTCCCTCTCCCTGCACCACCCGCTCTGGCATGCGGGCATGCGGTGTGGGGATCACCCACCCTCCACCCACCCTCCACGCACCACCCAACCTCCTCCACCCTCCACCCACCACCCAACCTTCTCCACCCCTCGCCACCTCCCACCCGCCACCCCACCCGTCCCCCACCACCTCACCTGTACCGTGCGCTGGTAGGCCAGGTCCACCAGGCTGCGTACCTCGCCGTCGATGATGCGCGCGGTGTCGTCGCTGTAGGGCTTGTTCAGCTGGCCCTCCTCGGGAGGGAAGGACAGCAGGCCCACCTTGGGGTTCATGCCATAGATGGCCACCTGCGGGCGGCGGGGGGGCGCCCTCGCGCGGTCGCACGCTGCGCTGCACAACAACACATTGCTGTGGCCCCTGGCGTGAGCGGGAGCGCGCGCTGGGATGCCCAGCGCACGCCTCGACAGACCCCAGGCCAGGCGCACGCTCGGCAGCCCCCTCCTTTCGCCACCCCACGCCACCCCACGCCACGCCACGTCTCGCCACGCCCCACCCCACCCCACCCCGCCACCCCACCTGGCTGTACGCCATCTTGGTGACGCGCTCCAGGTCGTTCTGCGCGCCTGTGGAGATGCGTCCCAGCATGACCTGCTCCGCGGCGCGCCCCCCCAGCGCCATCGCCATCATGTCGTTCAGCTGCTCCGTCGTCATCAGCACGTTCTCGTTGGGCAGGTACTGGGCAAAGCCCAGGGCCGCGCTGCCGCGGGGAACAATGGACACCTGGGCGTGTGGGTGTGGGGAGGGAGTGGGGTGGACAGGTGAGGTGGGAGGAGGCAGCGGGGCAGGTGAGGCACGTGATACGGCAGCGCAGGTTGCGGACGGGGCTGGCCACGGCTGCGGCCCACGCCTCCAGCCCAGCCAAGACCGCTGGCTGCCCCCACCCCCACCCCGCCACCGCCTCCACACCACATGCATACCCACACCAGCCCACCTTGAGCAGCGGCTCGGCGTGCTGCAGGAACCAGCCCGTCACCGCGTGCCCGGCCTCGTGGTAGGCCACAGTCCTGCGCTCCTCAACGCTGATCACCTGCACGCCACACGGCGGCGGCGGCGGCGCGGGTTCACTGTTGGCGCGGGGGGGAGCGCACCGGCCGTCTGGACAAGCAGGCAGGCAGGCAGGCAGGCGACAGCTTGCACTGCGCCGGCACTTC